GACCCCACTGTGCTACCGTTTTTTAATTATTATTTATTAAAAATTACTATTTTTATCTAGTATGATATATAATGTATAAATAGTGTATATATATTTAAATATATTTAATAATATAAATAGGTTTATTGCGTAATTTATACCTTATATATTTATAATTTTGCTGAAATTATTGATACACACTACAAATTAATTATCTACTTCGGTTATTTATACATCCCATTAACATAATAAATTTTATTACTTTACTGAGAAAAAATTGTATCGAATAATTAATTAATTGTATAAATATATTTATACAAATGACTGTGCATATACACACTCAATTACTCTTTTTGATATCTATGTGAACTAATTTGCGATGTGCTTAGAATACTCGCATTTGTGACATGGCTAAGACTTATCTATATCGTCTATGCGTGTACTTTTTAATTATCTAAAGAAGTCCCAATGCAACGTCACATAGATTTCGGTTTTGTTACATCGCATGCAAAAACATCACAAGTCGGGTTATTAAGGATCGCCAGTACTTCTCAACAACTAACATAGGCATTAGAATGTAACATCACACTTCTCGAAGTGATATCACTGCGACATCTCCGAGATGAATATTTGCACACAGGGTNCACTGCGACATCTCCGAAATGAATATTTGCACACAGGGTAGTTTCCTATAAATAAAGTTTGGAAACTAATTAGATTAATCGAGTAATTGTAATAATTATAGTTAATTTTAATATACTTACTATCTCATCAATTTCTAGTCGTGGTTTTTTTAAAAAATGTCGAATGACCATTTTGATGATATTGCAAACACCATGTTTATATAACTAACGTCGAAGACACGATTATGAACAACTTCTAAAATACCCAACTTCCGTTATCGTGTCGTACTCGTGTTCTTCACGTCACCGTCACGGTCATTATATTTCGTCGATAACGTCTTAAACGAAAGACGATAAACACCTAACTCGAGAATAGCACAATAATAGTGGTATGCTATTATGTTATGCATTATATTTTATTACTTGAGCACAAGACTTGTCCCCAAAAAAAACTAATTATGCGTGCACTTATATCCTGAAATGCATTTTTGAACGGTTTATTAATGAAATAAATAATTTATAATATTAGTTAAATAAACCAAAAAGAATATGCAATGCTACCAGTCCTCTGCAATTTTTATTACAAATAAGATAATCAAATAACTGATATAATCGATCAAAAAAGGAAAACATGATATATATTTATTCAGCCATGAGGGTTTTAAACCCAAAAACTCCTTGCACACGGGATACAGTATTAAATTATACAATTTTATTGGAAAGTGTTAAAGTTGCCAAGTACATCATCAAAATTTTTTGAAATTGTAAAACAAATAAAACAACATTTTTTTAAATAAATTATGTATAAATTAGTCACTGATTTGAAAAATTGCTTTAACTTTTTCAAGAGAATAACTTGGTATTCAAAATTTAATGAATAATGATAACTTGAACTCCACTACAGAAATTATGTTTCTGAAAAACAGTTATTATTCATGAATTTAATATCAGTCATTTAAATTTTAGAAAAATACAATTAGTTGTATAAATGTTAAGAGAAATTGTTTACCAGCATTAAAACTTAAATAACAATAAAAATATATATCTAAAAATGATAATAAAAAGTAGTTATAATAGTCATCATCAATTGTAGTGAGTAAATTCAGTTTATTATTAATAATATTTTGTTGAATTTTTACTTTACCATAACCTTTTGCTAAACATACACAGTGGAATTAAAAATTATAATTAATAACAAAAAATAACATTTTTGAATAAATCAAAATATACTTCAAATTTATTAGCAGTCTTTGGCATATAAAAATAAATATTTGGTGCCATAACCAACTCCAAAATTATGATCACACATAGATTCTAGGATAAATTTGTCATCAACTGCAGAATATTCTGGCCCTCCAATAGAGTAGAAATAAAAATAATATTAGCTTTTAATTTTGGATTTCTTTTGGCCAGAGTAAAAGAGTCTCCAACAATAAATTCAATTTTATGAGAAATACTATAAACTTCAGCATAAGTTTTGCTAATTTAATCTTATGTTGATCAAATTGAAATTATATAAAAAATTATTTTTTATTTAATTTATGTTAGAAATTAAAAATACTAAAATACAAAAACAAGATAGTCAATTATAGTTCTAAAAATTACCATATTAAATATTGTTTAAATATTAATTTAAAAAAATGTTGAGTATTTACAAATTGTTTAATATTGTAAGAGATTGTATATACCAATCAAATTTTTTATAAACTATAATGAATCATTTAAATGATGCTAAGCCATTTTACATGTTTTAGCCAATTGTATATTTTCAACTGCTCTATAAAAAGGATCCATAGCAACATCACATTTACCACATTTGTCAATATGATAACTTAAAATTTCTGGACATTCTGAAAATATAAATATTTTAATTAAAATACATCTAATTATCTTTATTGTCTAATTATTTTAATTATCTCTAAGATAGTTTTACAAAATTAAATATCTGTCTCATAGAAATTAACAATTACTTTTTATTAATAAAAAGAAATAGAAATCTAACATTGTATAATTATGTCCAACTATATATATACAAGAATTTTTGATAAATGTAAAATATTAGTAAAAATAAATAAAAATAATAAGTTAAACCTTCATCTTGGTTTTATCAGCCTCAAAATTTGATATACCACTTTCTAATCATTCATCAAAAACAGTACAGTAATTGACAAGGTATAAAGTTAAAATTTAATATTTTATTAAATTATAAAAAAATAAAAATAATTCTTAAAATTATATAAATAAACAAAATTAAAAAAATTACTAACTTAAGAAATTTTAATTAAAATAAAAATCAAATGTATTTTCAGTAACCTTGATAGCTTTTTGTGAATTTTTTCTAGCAATGAAAATTAACCACAAAAATGGTAAAATTNACAATGAAAATTAACCACAAAAATGATAAAATTTGTATTATTTAAATGTTAATTTATATTACACAGAATGATTCAAGTTTTCATCCAATTATAAATCGACAACAGTACACTTGGATTAATCAAAAAATATTTACTACAAAAATAAATTTGCAAAGTTTATTTATGTTACTTATTTTATCTAGTAATCAACTATATAACTTTAGTTAATTTATTGAGAGACAAATTCAAATAAGCGTTTTCAGCAGATGGAAAAAAAAGCTTAAAAAACTGTGATAAATTTTAATTCGATGGACAGATTTTGAGAAAATGAATGTTGAAATCAGTCGAATCAGGTAACAAATTAAAATTAAAGATAAGTTTATAAGCAAACTGGCAACGTAGCAATGGTAAACATTATGAACGTTCACACTTCGTCCTTTTTAAATATATAGACTTATTAATGCAACGTTGTCAATTTGCTTATTAACTTATTGCTTTTTTATCATAAGAGAACGTTACTGATTAACTATTAGGTAAGATAGTAGCCTTTTTCCTTACTATTTGGCCGCGGAGTTATGTTCTCTTGTAATATACTCACTATACTATACATATAAGACACTTTAGGTTTGTTCAACCGATTATTTTAATTTTCTCAAAATCTATCCATCGAGTTGAAAATAATCAATGAATTTGTCGCTAATTTGTTGGGTAATTTTCGATAATTGAATAAGACTATATTCATCATTATACATTTCTCGGTCGTACTCCTCCGCTAGCCTAGGTATAAAAATAGTAGTAAGTTCTGAAATACTGGTCCAAGAGTTATCGACCAATCGTTTTCTTAATATAATTTTCTATTTTGGAAGCTAGTTTAATATAAGTGTTGAAATTAAAAAAATTAAGTTGGTACCCTAATAAGGGATAAAGGACAGACCTAAAAAGTATTTAATTACATAAAAATAAAAAAATAAATATTACTCAACAAAGACAAAAAACAATTTCAAGATAATTATTCTAGGAGAAATTTTGTCGTCAATGATAAATCAATTACTCTGTAAAATTATTTAAATAACATATTTAAAAAAATTTTAGTAATATTTCACACAATTTTGATTTATACATAATTTTTATACATTATACATTTTTAACATTATTAATGTTAATGGTTTTATACATTTATTAAGTTTTAATTTACAAGTTTGAATTAAGGTAATTAGGTGGCCTTGTAAAGTTTAAATCCATTAAGTTAGGTGGTCCATTTCGCATATTATTTTGATTAGGCCCATATTGTCTGGGTGGTCTTTGTGAATTGTTATTGTATGGGTGAGATTTGTTATAATACGGTCTCATAGGTTGATTGTAGCCACTTAAATTTGAAGGTAAATGATTCATTGGTTGCCTATTGAAATTGTCATTTGGTTGTGGAGGTAAAAAATTATTGACAGATCCATAATTTTGATTAAAATTGTTAACTCTATGATCGACATCTTGATTTACTTGGAAATTTACATTGCTACGAAATTGATTTCTTCTTAAATCTTGATCCTTTTGGAGATGTTTAGATGCATATAAATAAATTGGATCTCTATTACTTTCGAATGATAAATGTTGTCGTACTTCTGGTATTGCTCCAGAATGTAATAACCGCATTAGTGATTCTCGCCCTTCTTTAATTGCAAATTCTAATTGTGAGTTAGGATCTACTTTTATCATCTGTCCATAAACAAGAAGTGATTCTGGCTTTAATTCACTTGTAGGTCTTGAACCTGGTATTAGATCCATTAAGCTTTCTACTACATTATTAACTACATCACTATCAGGGCCTATATTTTCATCTCCTTCATCATCCACCGTTTCTTCATTAGTTTTATATTCATTCCAAAGTTTTTGAAAATTCTTTGGAATAGGTTTAGAATAAGGTATTTTTTTAATAGGTCTTGCTTTAACTTGATCATCATTAGTGGTTATATCTAATAATGGTATAGTATTATCATCTACTGGAACTTTACTAGTGTCTTCTTCAGCAATATCATCAAGTCCCATACCAGGTATAGTTGATTGCTCATCAGTTATCATATTATCAGTTTTCAACATATTTGATACAGCATTTACAGAATGATATTTACCCGTCATTTTATCTCCAGGTCTATTACGCGTCCAAAACTTACAAGTGTAATCATTAGAACCAGAGCATAAAACTTCACCTAATGGATGCCAAGCTAATGACCAAACAATGCTATCATGAGCTTGGTCTACTGATCCAACAAATTTATCAACCCCAACATTCCAAAATAAAATAGCTCCATCTGAACCCCCACTGCAAAATAAGTTTTCATGATATGGATGCCATGCAATAGTACTAGCTTCTTTTTTGTGACCTCTAAATGTTTGAACTTCGTGAGAAAGATTTCTTATATCAAATAATTTTAGTAGATGATCTCTTGATGCTGAAACAACCCAGTTTCCATTAGCATTCCATTTGATATCCATAACAGTGCTTTTATGTGCATGTAAAGTAGCTAATGATTGACCAGTTTTAGGATCCCAAAGTTTTATTGGCTGTTGATTGTCTTTACTGCCAGATATTAATAAACCTTTATGAGGATGCCAATCTATGCACTTAACATCAGCACCATGTCCTCTCAAAATTTTTTCTTCTCGATTGGTAAAGAAGTCCCAGATACGAATAGTTCCATCATCTGAACAAGTTGCAAATTTATCATCAGACTGACTAAAACTTATTCCTCTAACAGCTTCATTGTGAGCTTGAAACATTTTAACATTATTCATATTAGATTGCCAATATTTTATGAAACCTGTATGATCTCCAGTAGTCATCCAATTGCCATTATGTGACCAAACCATAGAACGAACTGGAGAGTCGTGAGCTTGTAAAATAGTTTCAAAATTGAATGTTAAACCATTCCATAATGTAAATTCACCACTAGATGCTCCAGTAATTAAACGTCTACCTTCAGGTGTCCACGCTAAACAAAATACAGGACATCGAATTTTATTTGTAACAGTCTTGACAAAAGCAGTTGTAACTGCATTAACAGAATTATCTACATAACATTGTGGGGGTAATAATTGTGGTGTATAAAGTGTATCTGGCTGTAAAAATGGTCTATCACGATAGTCCCGTTGCCATATTCGGTTTTGAAGCATACGAATTAATGAAGCATTGTAATCTACTGTTTTACGAAGTCCTGATTTTCTCAATCGTTTTCCATCAAAATCTAAATCCAGTGGAGGGCCAGTTTTGGCGGTTTGATGTCTTGGTGGTCCACTGACATTTGCACTACGTATATTTAAAGGGATAGGGCCTTGGAACCTGTAGTTCGTTGGAATAAATGTATTAGTTGAAGGTGGCGGAACAGAAAAATTTAAAGGAGGCGGAGGTACCGAAAAAGAAGTATCCACAATAATGGACATAATTACAGTACAAAATAAAAATACAACCTAGAACTAAACTTTAATGAAAATAATTTTATCAAAATTATAGACAACTACTGATTTTTACAACTTATCATCGGTTTCCTTTAAGTTAATGCCTCTGGAAGAATTTTCGCTGTTATAGATACAATTAAATTCGCCCAATCTTTCTTACACTTTACTAACGTTTTAATCAGTTTATACTATTTATTTTACATTTATTAAAAGTCATTTCGCTATTTTTAATCGTTTTAATTAATGGATTTTTGCTTTTTACGTATTTTCATGGAACGATAAACGGCGTTTCCCCTTTTTAGCTATTCCCGTATCGCAACATTCTTACTTGAATCTTTTCATTATCATATCTGTTATCATATATTTATGTTCACGTCTTGCTTCCCGACACGTAATTTATGATTCTTTAGTTTATTATAGTTTTTTTTATTTATTTGAATTTGTTCAATTTTATACATCATTTTCTTTTTTTGAACTTCGTTTAGTTCGATATGTATAATTACATAATTATACAGGACGATTGTGTTCTAATTTATTTTGTCTAAATTTTTCTAGTTGACCTATGGCTGATTACTAATAAATAGAATCAAATCTGTAGTATTGCTTATTTTTATATAAAAATATAAATTAACCTTTAACAAAATAGATTTAAAAACTTTTATAATATGAATTGATCACTTGTAGCTAATGTTATTTAAAATTAAAAATGTATTTAACTTAATAATAAATGGTAACCTTTAATTTTATTATTTTAATAATAATTGATATCAAAGCTTCTATTAGATTTTTGTAAAGTAAAATGAGCCAATAGATACAAAAGTAGATAGGAGTATTTCGTTTTCATATGGCTTAAAAACTTTTTTACAAACAACTATGAAAACTATGTATGTTTTCAAATTTATACAAATTATATAATAGATAGATAAAATTTTAAAACAATATTGTTAAATATTACTAAAATAAATATATATTAAACAAATTTTGTTCCATCAATCATTTTTCAGCTATATGGAAGATTAAGCGGATGATATTATGGTATCCGAAAAGTACATATTTTTCAAAGCTGGAAAGATTAGCTTAATACTTACTATTAGTATGTTAAAGTATTACTGAAAATATGTAAAAATAACAATTAATAAAATACAATATATCGTTTCATTATTATTTACCTTTTATTACTACTTATTATGTTTATATATATCTATATGTATATATTTAGTATTTTTCTTAAAAAAGTTTTTTTATTATAAAACCAATAAAATTAAGTGATAATAACCAAAAAACATAAGACAACTTTAATATTTTTTGTATTCATAGCAAAAATTAATTTAAAAATAAACTCAACACACAGGGGTCATAGCATAGTTGGGTCAAGTATAGATGATATCTATATAACAGTGATTAAATCATTATAAAAAACTGATGCAAATCTGTAAATAGTATTTAATTTTTGGAAGAAATTGTTAAATTTTTTCAAAAATATATCAACTTCAATCAAATTATCCCTAAAAACTATTTATTTTTTTTTAAGTGATACTAAACCCTGATCGTTTATATTACCATACTGTTTTACTTGAAATATAGGCATAAATAATTCAAATAAAAATTATGATAAAACTAATAATTTCATATAATTAACATTTTATGTTTAAGTTTGATGTCTATTTACATACATTACATATAAGGTGTCTAAATATTTTTTTATTTTTTGCTTATATCATAAGCTTTAATTTATCGTATGTATATAAAATTTTCGAAGTATTTCCGGTACATTTGTAAAAGTTGCTTTTTTGAATCCTGTGAGCAAGTAAATATACCTAATATAAGGAAAACGCTTTTAATAAATATTTAAAAAATAATTGTATGATTCATTCATCTTTAAAAAAGTTATGGCGATTTTAAGTAAAAAAAGTCAAAAATTACAATTTTTGGGTTGATTTCCTTTATTTACGGAAAAAGAGTTTTCTTTAGTGTACAAGAGTAAAGTCTCATCTCTGCTACACTCATTCTTTGCTCTACTTTCTTATCAACCGCCCAACACCCTGAACCATACATCATAGCTGGCTCACTACAGTCTTGTACAATTGACCTTTCAGCCTCATAGAAATTCTTTTATTGCATAAGACACCAGACGCTTCTCACTAATTCAACCACCCGCACTTAATCCTGTGTCTTACATCCTTGTCAATACCACCGCTCTTTTGCACAACTGATCCTAAATACTTTAAACTTTCTATCACGTCTTCGCTTATTGTCACTAATATTACTCCTACTTATTCTTAATCTTTTTTGTACAATTGCTGATCTATAGGTGTAATGTAAAGCTTTTTCCTATACTATTCTATTAGTTGTGCTTTATATAACAAGTGGAGCTTGTATCACAAATCACATTTTGTGAGATTTTTCAATAAAAAAAAACATGTTTTTCAATATTGAGATTTTCTTTTATATAACATAATCAATATTTTATATTATACTTTTAACATTAAGAGTATAATAGAAAAAATAATTTCTATTATAACATTAAAAGTATAGCCCTTTAGATGTACTTTTTACTGGCATTTCTATGTTAACTTTTTCAGTTAAATTAAATAATTTCGTAAGTCGTTGAATAATTGTTAGAACTATGTGAGAACTGCCTATACACTTATATATTGTTAGACTTGTAAATACACTGTTGAAGGTTAAATAAATTTACCAAGAACTTTTGAAATTAAAAAAAAAATGAATTTTGTTGAGGTTTTTCATAATTGAAACACTGTGGTGAAGCTAGAGTTCCAGATTTTGGTACCTAATACACTCGCCATTTAAATTGAATTAATTAAGCGAAGTATAATTTTTTGTTTTGTAGTAAATACTTATCAGAGTATTAGTTTTCGGGATACAAATATATCTTTGATTTTTTTATCACTTATTATCATAATTAACATTTATCTAATCAAAATTATCCTTGTCTGATAATTTTTACAGACTGTATTTTTTATTTTTTCTAAAATGTGTTAATAATACAAAAAAATTAAAGAGGATTAATAAGTTGAAAATTTACTTTTAGACACCATATTTTAACAAATTTGTAAGATGAGACTTACAAATTGTTTATGGAATGCAAAAAAAGTTGGTGAAATGACAAAGAAATATGCAAATTTACCCGAGTCTTATATTGATCGTAGTATGGAACAAGTAAACTAAAATTAAGAACGATAAGCAATTTGATTGTATTAATAATAAATATGATTTCTTTAGGTCGTATGGAAAACACCTAGGAATAATCCTCGCTACCTACCAAGAACTGTTAAAAAAAAGAAATTCTATTTTGGTCAAGAGAGACCATGGACATATGCTTTTGCTAATCAAAATTCTATAGGAGAAGTTAAATCCAAAGTATTTGTAGAACCAATAAAGAACTGGTCCTTTTTTAAAGGAGATAGAGTATGTAAAAATAACTTAATATTTTGATTTGCTGCAATACATAGCTGGAATTGAGTCACCACCTATGTCAATTTTTCTATATATAAATTATGAAAACTATGACATAAATTATTAATATACATCCGTTTACACTAGAAAATCTTTGACTTGTTATTATCGTAAATCTCTGAATTAGTTTCTGAAGATTTTTTTTTTAGTTTTTCCTTAGTATTTTAATTGGCTACATTTGCCATTTTAACATAATATTTATAATAGTTTTATTTTATGGAGAAATATGCCTTCATTCACTTTTATAATTAGTGCTGTGCTAACTGTCATTAGCAACCCTTTTTAATATATTTTTAAATAAAAAAAAATCTATTTATAATTTTTGAAACTATATATAATCATCTTTATCTAGTGATTTTGGTTATTAAACTAAGAATATAAAACTCTTTTATAAAACACATTGTAATTTACTCTTTGTTATTTTGAGTGATACAACCTAGGGAAGTGTAATGCATCATGTTTTGAAAATTAAAAGGTTTTATCTTATTCACTATGTCTTCAAAAAATAAAATTTACTGGTTCTCATGTGGGGCACTAAATTGATTTATTAATATCTTTTAGTGATTAATAAAAACTAAAAATTAAAATTCATATTATGCGCAGTTGATAAAAATACTGTTTAATGACTCATTTGAAAACTAAAAAATGCAAGCAGAGCTTGAAGTGTCTGCTGAAGTACACTATACTCCTTAATATAGTATTTTATTGAGTAGTATTGGTTTTGGTATGGGACCATCATCATATTACATCAAAAATTATTATAAATTAATTGATTAAATAAAACATAAAATAAATAGATAAAAAAATGTATGGTTATTTAAAATATAAAAGTATAAAATTGTAAAATATAAAAATAGTTTTATTTGTATATTTATGTTTACAGGTAGAGATTTTAGTTGGTCCAGATAAAGGTAAACAAGGAATTGTTGGACAAATCATTCAAGAAAGAAATTGGGTTATTGTTGATGGATTAAATTGTGAGCTAGAAGAAGTAAGTCATTATCAGGGGCATTTATCAATGGTTCAACAAAAAGAAAAACCATTATTAGTAACTAGTGAAGTAGCACTGGTAGACCCATCTGATTTGTAAGTTATTTAAAACAATATTATCTGTAATTATAAAAATACACATAATAACTGCACTTATAATGCTTTTTTAAATTTAGACAAGGATGCAGTGTAGAATGGAGATTTACTGAAAATGGTGAGAGAGTGCGTGTATCTACAAGAACTGGAAAAATAATTCCAATTCCTTCCATGTCAATTGAGACTTACGATTATAAGACTCCCAAAACTTATAAAGGTAAATTATTACAATAATTCTGTTATAAAACCTATTATCTTAACTTAACAATATGATATTTTCCAATTATCTGAATTAAAAAATTTAAAAATATATTTTAAAATTAAAAAAGTAAAATAAAGTACAATAATAAAATAAAGTGGAATTTAAGGAATTTTTTAGATTATTGTTGATTGATATCCGAAAGTGATTAAAATCACTGTTGTCAAACACCTCTATATATATTTATAAAAAGAATTGTCATATTTACCAAAAATTACATGTTTTTTGACTTAAGTGTTTGTTCAATCGTTGAAGATAAGTCACTTAAATGTTTTTCTACTTAGTTTTACTGTATTAAATTAAACAAGCTTTATATTTAAATAATTTAAGTGATGTAAGCAATTTCTGTTACTATGCCAAATATTATGAAATTGGCTAATTTAAACATTATTATAAAAATGAGAACGTAAAAGGTTTTTTATTAAAGTATTTTAAGTTTCCACATTTTTAAATGCTTTGAAGATAGCAAATTCAATTTTTTAATTATTGGAAAATATTATCATACCATATTGATACTTAAAAATTGTTTCCTGTAAATTATTTTACATGTATATATTATATTCAATGTTGAGTTTAGAATTTTTTTCTATGGGACTTAAAGCATTGGTGCAAGCAAAAAAAAATTGTTTTTAATGAACAAAAAAAAGAGGGATTTCATCTCATTATTAATGTTAATACTCGTGAGTGGACTGTAATCATAAAATAATAAAAAAACAGAGTATGAAGCTCTACCATGTGTAAAATATCAAATGTCGTTATAACCTAACTGCATGAGTAACCTACGCTGGTTAACAAGTAATATATATGCGTTATGTCGTGTAGCTTAATTTGTGAGTATTGCGTAAATAGCCCTTGACATGTCGTGATATCCGCAGAGTACCATCGACATATAACAGTAGAGTACCGCCTTGCACGAGTACCCTAGACGTCAATCGACCACCGCAGTGCGCCGACAACGATTACTAAAAGAACAATAGAACACTCGCTTTGAGCCAGTGCCCTTAAATGTGTCATGGTATCCGCAGAGTACCGATGGCACATAACAATAGAGTACCGCCTTGCACGAGTACCCTAGACGTCAATCGACCACCGCAGTGCGCCGTCAACGATGACTATAAAACAGAAATAATTAAAATACAGTTAAAGTACTACACTCTAATTATTTCTTTCTGATTATGTAAATTATGCCCAATGTAGCTGTGCGCAGGTGAACTCATGCAGTTAACTTACTTAGAATTGCTCTAAATGTTACTCTCAAAATATTGTGTTATGTGTAAATTTGTCTATTGTAGACAAATTTATTCTATGCAATAAAAAAAAAACAAACTTACTTACAGTGAATGGTCAAACACAAATTGACTTGCTTTATTTAAGAAAATAATTTTTAACAAAAATAACTAAAGAAATATGTAATATTTAAGAGTGAAATATCTGCTGCGACCTTCTTCTTCTACTGGGTTCTGAAAAACTGACCGTCGTTGAGACTACAAGCCACCCTCATTACCTTTCCCTGGTAGGTAGTACCGATCCCTTCTGTGACGCTAGGCAGCAGGTCAACCGGTCCGAACTACCTGCCTCTTTGTTCGCCGACAATTAAACAAAACATCACATCAATTTTCGAAAAGAGCTATACTATTATTGTCACCCAGATATAGCAGAGGGGCTATCTTAATAACTGGGGCACTCCAGCCTCCCTGAAGTATACTTGGATTCAACACTGTTTATATTTTATAGTTTTGTAAAAAATATTAAAATAACATGAAAATAAAGTTTTACTCATGATTTCATTTTCAGAGTCTGAAAAAGATACAACTGAAGATTTATTGACTAAAATTACATTTGAACCTTTATTAAAAACTTTTGAAATGGAAATAATGGATAATATGGGTATAAAAGAAGATAGAATACCAGCACCCACATTCTGGTATTAATTATGATTTAGTAGTTGTTAAAAGTTATGAGCATTCTATAAAAATTATATATAATGAATAGTTAAATCATGAATTTAATTCATGATTAATGTATTTGGTATAATTAAAAGTTCAAATACATACCAATATTTCAATACTAAAAGTTAATTTTAATAAAAATGTTATTGATATAATTATGTCAATAAATCAGTTTTAAAATTGATACAATTACTATTGTTATTTTTTTATTAACAAAATTTATTAATACCTACCTTCAACAAAATTACAATAAAATAACAGCTAATGATATTTGATTTTCTTTTATTTATTTGTAAAATAAGCTAAGATCTTATTGATCAATTTTTTTAATTCAATTTTAAATTGAAACTTCAGAGAAGATATAATGGATGAAAAAAAATGTAAGTTCTAACATGACACCATAGCAGTAAAGTTTTAAATATAAAGGAATCTAAAAATATATAATTAATTTTTAGTTGAATTTACTGTTCAGCTTTAAAATATTAAAATAAATAAGGTAAATTTTTTTTAACTTCATTTACTCTAGTTCATAACAAAAGATATCCGTTCATTTGCATACTTAAAATCCTGTGCTATCATTTGGCCCCTAAGATACAGCTTATATGGCCTCCCTAATAGTAAAAATTGTTTAAAGTACTATGTAGCACATATAAATTGGAGTAAGTTTTCCCAAAACACTATGTTTAGTTTCTTTGTACTTTAATAAATACATATCTTTACACATAATTCCACATGTTGATTATGTAACCTAGACTTATAGCACATTAAAAATCCATATATATTATTAAGCGTTCTTTAGGTTTTACAATTCAAATAATTATATAAAATATAAATAGCTTATACTAAAATCAAACATAGAATGATAATATAACTGGTTTTTTAATTTTTAACAATGTGTCCGGATAATTTGCTCAAAATATTTGAATAGAATTAATGAAGACTAATACACCATAATCAGTATAAAAAACATTTATGTCAAATCTAAAAATATAGGTTTAATTAGCTTATTTTGCAATACTTTAGTATTAAAGTTTAATCTAATAGTTCTCTGTTTTTATAATTAAATTTTCAAGATAGATGATACAAGAAAAATTCCTTTATTTAAAAGTGCAAAAAATTGCGCATACCAGTGTTTTAATGAATATCTTATATGAATTAACCTAGTTAAAGATGTAATTTTAGTTATTTTTAAGCCGGGTGAACTTTTAAATGGGTCTTTGTTTTTTAAATTTTTGATTAGCGATCTCATTTTTATTATTAATAATTATAATTTTTTACGGTAAAATACCTAATTTTCTTCTTGGGCTGCTAAATCATGACGGACAACCGTCAGCCTTGTCGCCTCTCAAATAGCGCACCTGTATTCAGTATAATTTGTGATTTTTAAAAGTATTGTTTGTCTATTACGGTCTAGTGGAAACTAAAGATAAAAAAAATATATATTCCTATCAGAAAAAATGATTTTGTAACTATAAGAGAACAAGTTATTCTGAAAAATTGTTTACATTGCATAACAAGTTTAAAAAATTAAATATAGAATAGTTATAAACATTAATATATTTTTTAACTGCTTAGAAAAATGTAGTTTTTAATTTTTAAATATTTTTCTATATATGGCAACACAAATACTAAATAATAAATAACTTAAAAATTTCGATTTCCATTGAAACGTCATTCTAAGGTATTTTTCTTCAGTGTAAAAAACATATTTGGATTAAGATAGTCAAATAACATTGAATGTCAATTTCTATAAAGTTCAATTCTCAAATTATTTCATACAACTTGTAATATTCGGACTGACGAAGCATTACTTGTATGACGATTCTTCTAATCGTCATTTTTTTTAGTTGCTATAATAAGCTCTGTAATTAATCAATTTATTATCTTAGTGGATATATTTAATACTATTTTTACATTTATACGAACAGTATAAAATATATTAAAGAAAAATCTATGCGAAATTACACCTACAGAAAACCATATTGGTATGTGCAGATATTCAAATCGAAAACGATAGACCTGTATTGGCCCGGTAGATAGCATTAAATTCGCACATCATATTCTTTAAAATACTTCCATATAGACTTAAATAGAACATTTTTTAATTAAATTGACATTATTCACTTAAATTCTAAGTTAATAGGCGTTTTCTCTAGCATCGAATAGTCGGCTTAATTCTATAAACCTAAAGCTACTGTCAGCAAAATAACCTTTCTGTCCCTGTGCACACACCTATAGCTAGCCACCCAGAATACAAACAAGTTATTAACATCTTCAATTTGAGATAAAAAGAATTTGGAATGAAGAAGTTTTGTTTTTAATAATTGTTAAGATTGAAAAAAAGTTACTCTTTTAATTTAAAGCAAATTAATTAAATCAATTTCTGTGTATACAACAGGAAATTTTTAATTTAATACATTTCAACTCTTTTATATCAAATATAATTATTTAGTTTAGTAATTATAGCTATAATTACTCATTTCGAATAATGACATAAATACAGCTGAACAAAACAGCTGATTGAATGTTGGTAATACATTTTCATCCATGAAATCGTTATCACAATTTATACATATGATGTGCATACAATAAGTTTCATATATACATACATTATACGTAAATTACACCACAGTCATGAATCTTCGAGTACACTACTCCGAAATACCAAATATCTTATCACAAAATTCAAGATTAATTATTTTACCACTTTGTTTTACTGCTATTTTATCGTACGTTTAATTTTTTTGACGGATGACCAATGAACAATAATTGTTCTGTCGCAATTATTGTTTGTCGTCGTCTATTGTTTCTTATTGTGGTTTTTAAAATTTAACTATCTATACTCGCATGTATATTTCCATAACTACTTGAAATCGTAATTTTTAATCCGATTTACATATAAAGCTCGTTGTAAAACAAAGTTATGACGATTTTATCAAAGAAAAAATCTCAAACTATTACTGAAGAAGGCGAACCATCTTCCAGTACCCATGGTCATTCATTACCCTTGTCAAATATCCAAGCTCATCCACAGGTATATAAAACATATTAGTTCGTAGAGTGCCAATATTGTACCAGTAATACTTAAGTTTACTATTACTTAATATTTTACAAATTTAATATCTACCCATGTTTATTTTTTCTTTATTAGATGTATCTAGCTTGTTTTTGAATAATATATAATCGTAGGTAATAACTCACAAGGTCTTAAATCATTAGTATCATTTTAAATTTTATTTAAGGAACTAGATGTAGAAATATTTGTAAAACTTAAAATATAAATAGGTAGTATAATATTATATAATTAGTGTGTGATTAATTAGTTCTCTGCTTAAATTTCTAAATAAATTAATATATAGTATTGGTACTTTATAAATTATTGTCAACTATTTTTGTCATAAAATAAATAATTTAATTGTTGAATTTTATCTCAATTACTTTATTTGACAAAAATCAAGTTTCAGATAGTGAAGCTTAGCTTAATTTAAACCAAGCTATGAATATAAAGTGACTTTTAAATCTGATTGTGATTTATGAATTATAATATGAGGATGATCTCAGAAAGTTAACCAAGCTAATTTTGTCTCAATAACATAAAGCTTCAGTTTGACTAATTATACATTTGAAAATCGTAGAGAAATAAACTTCAATAATTATCATTTAGAGTTTCAAAAACTTTAACTCAATCTAAAAATATTCATTATCATGAAAATAATTTTAGAATAGATGTAAATACAACTGCTTCATAAATAAATATGATATTTTATAGTACAAACTCTATGTGAAAAAATAGACTATCAAACTATCTAAAAGATAGTTTGATTGTCATTTTTGATGACTTTTTAGATTAACAATTTAGAAGAACGAATCAGTTCTCCACAAAGATGGCCAGTAGAAAACATTGAAAGCGGTTTAAGTTCTAATAAGCCAACTAAACGTCGGATACACCGAAGTCCTCACAGGTATGTTGTAATAAATAAAATGCCTCCATGAATTATAATTAAAAATGATATTTTAATTTTGTGTACCAAAAAAGAAATACAAGAAGCAACAATAAAGGACGAGAAAGAGAAAATAAATCTTCTCCAACTTTAGGAAATTGTCAATGTGGTACTTCTGATGCTAGTGGTCATTGTGATGTTAATATTTGTGGATATAACAGTGAAGATGAATATGGAGAAATTCCAAAGAAGTGTAATGACTTAGATTGGGTAGAGGTAATGAATATTTGTAATTTGATAAATTTAATTGAGATAAAAGTGTAAAAAGAAAGATTTTTTCCAATCAATACATTTCTTTCTCTAAATCTAAAATAACAATGATCCGATTAAGAAAATGAATGGTCGATAACATCTGTTGGATCAGTATTTTGGAAATTATTGACATAATTATTTCTAGTTAAGAGGAAGAGAATGGCCAAGAAATGTTTAGTTATAAAAATAACAGCACCCACCCACTCTTCTCCATTCATTACTTTAAATTTTTAAGGTATAAGGGATAAACATATAAAAACATTGATTGAAAAATTGAAAGAAACATTAAACTAAAATAAACAAATGAAAAATGTTTAATATTATTTTTATTTTTCGATTAATTAAGTGGTTTATGATAAATGAATCACTTTTTATGTTTAAATATGTATATATTTTTTTACAGCAAGATCGTTTGTTTGAAAAAAAAATGAAGAAACGTGGTTTAGTTTTAAAGCAAATGAAAGAAGATGGGGCTTGTTTATTTAGAGCTGTTTCTGATCAGCTGTTTGGAGATCAAGATATGCATGACATTGTACGAAAACAGTGCATGGATTATGTTGTTAGTAAATTTAAAAATAAATACCTTAAATCTAAATTTTACTAAAGAGAATAACTTAATATTTCTTAATTTTCAGTCAAGTAATCGTGATTATTATACACAGTACGTTACAGAAGATTTTAACACTTACATTGCTCGAAAAAGATTAGATTGTACTCATGGTAACCATGTTGAAATACATGCTATGTCAGAATTGTATAATCGTCCGATTGAGGTCTACTGCTATGGAATTGGTAACTAATACTTTATTTAATTTATGAGATAACTCAAAATTTGGTTTTTTAAGTATAAAATTTAATAATAATTTTAGAGCCTATTAATATATTTCATGGAACAAATACTTCAGAACAATCAAATCCACCTATAAGATTGTCTTATCAAAGAGGTAGCCATTATAATAGCATTGTTGATCCTTATAAAGCAACAATTGGTGTAGGATTAGGCTTACCAAATTTTTCACCTGGATCTGCTGATAAAAAATTGTTGACTGATGCAGTACGTCAAAGTGAAGACTACATGTTAGAACAGGTATATCTAAGATTTCATCAGCTAACTTTTTACATGTTTTAGTATGTATTAAATAAAAATAATGATAGTTTTCTAAACAAACTAAAATCTGCTTAATTATATTCAGTATATTTATTTAATAATACATTATAAAATGAGATTAAAAATAAATTTCCCAAAACTCAGAAAAACTCTAAATGTATTAACAGAAGATTATAATTTTACTGTTATAAATAATAGGATTTGAAAAATATTTACACAAGCCATAGATTTTATACACTAAACAGAAAATATTTTGTTATTAATATCACATATAATAAATTATAATAATAAGTTATTTATTGAAGGGATTAAGATATAAGAAGTTTAAATTGTAATTAGAAATATCAATCCAAAATATTATTTTTTAAGTGTATAAATTGAGATATTTTTTCTTATCTTAGGACTAGTTTAAAATGTAAGATTTAATTAGAAATATTCTGTATGTAATAATTGAGTATTTATTATTTGAAATAATTTTTGTTTCAACCATACTGACTCCCTAAGCCATAAAAATTTATGTAAGGTCAGAAGTTGGTGTATAATTTTATCAGATCTTAAGGTAAATCCAACCTCAAATAGTAAAATAGAGGCTAAGATGATGATTAATTATTTTTCAAACTAAAATATATATTCAAAATTTTAATTAGTATTATCAGTACAGTTTTAAAGAAAATCTATCCCACCATTAATTAATTTTATATCAAAGAAGTAGTGTAGTTTGCATTGGATTCACATTTATAATTTACTAAACTTTAAACATATGTATCAAATTGATTTTAATTTTACAGACCATGTTAGAAGACAAACTTAGAGCAACAGATTGGGAAGCTACTAATGATACAATTGAAGAACAAATTGCACGAGAAAGTTATTTACAATGGTTAAAAGATAATGAAAAAAGAAACAAAGTAATTAAAAAATACATTAATCATATTTTATTGTGACATTATTTTATTTTATATTTTTAGAATGATAAAGAGACTTCAGCTACATCAACTGCAACATCTGCATCTTTAGTAGAACCTTACCAATCTCGTACATCACCACCAAGATTTGCACCAAAAACTCCTCCTATTTCATCACCTCAAAGAGATCATGCGTCAACCACTGAAAATGCATCTTTTATGAATCTACCTCCACATCTCTTTGGTAGTAGAATAATAAAATTTTGTCAAAACATCTTTAAATTTTTTAACATTTTTAAATGTTACTTTTATTATTTAGGCATGTCACAATGGGAAGATATTGGAATTTTAACTCAAGTATTAGCTACTTCTCAACAAGAATATCTTGACAGTTTAAAAAGACAACACGATGAACACAAAGAAGATGGTGAAAAATACACTAATATATGTGATGTAAACAAACCATCCACCTCACATTAAGAATGAAAATTAATCTTAGTGTAGTAATTTATTAATTTAATTAACACTTGTTAAAATATTAATAATTTAAGACATACCCTTATCTTGTATTAAATATTTATTTTAAATAATAAGATTTTATTTACCTAATCTCATTCATTATATATATTATTATTATTATTCTATTTATTAATAATAATGCCCCCAAAAAATTATACTTACTGTCACTAATTTATAAAGTCTTTATACAATATTTGGTCATTATCATACAATTTTTAACGAGTTGAACACCATGTGGGGCCAACAAACCTTTTATGGCGTTATAAACAAAAGCACATTTTATATCTTAACCTTCAACCTGTTAAATATTTATCACGTTTTATTCTAGAAAAATTTTAATACGGTGAATTAACTAGTAACTTAGAAAAAAATTAATTTGGTATACATCAAATATTAATAAGAATTCTAAAACTGTTCTCAATGGATTTTAAATTTATTGTCATCACATATGGAATAAATCGAAGAGCCTTATTAAAAAATAAAAAGTAAACTTATGAGTTATGCAGTAAATGTATATAGTATAAGTTGATTAGATTAATGATATTGAATGTAATCAGTATTTCTATTTAAAAATAATTTGGCGTAGTTAAAATTTCTGAAAATATTTATGTTAATTATTTCTTTAAATATAATAATTACTGTTTGAAATCAATTTTGTAATATATTTTAAATCAACTATAATTTTGTTAATTCTAAATAAAATGTTTGTGTAATAGCTTTGTATTTTATTAGTTTGTTTTTTTAGTTATTTAACTAGGATAATTCTTTCTTAATATATCAGTATCAATAGATTTATATGAATAATTATTATTAAAGTACATAATCTTGTTTAATTAGATAAGACTCAAATTTAAGTAGGCAACAATTTTTTTCATTTGTTCTAAAGCCTCAAGTGATGAAATCTGTATATATATTTTACTTATGTTTACATTGGTAATAGAGTAAAAAGTATATTCCTTTACAGAAATACCAAATTTTTTTTATCATGCTTTTAATATTTCTTATTGTACTATTTTTATTTGTTCAAAATTAATATTTTGCTATAATTGACATGAAAAGTATTTTAAATCTCTTATTCTGAATGACATGTTACCTTTATTAAATAAAAAAATATTTTTATTTACTTACTATTTTGGTAATTTCTTAGTTTCATAATTTGAAATGATAATATTTTTTCATTTAATTATATATAAATAAAAATTAATTGAAGGAAATTTTATTTTTTAAATTTTATTAGTGCCATTAACAATGAGGTAATAATTGATTCAATTGGCAGTCTATTTTTAGAATGTAATTCATTCGAAATTATACTACTTAAAAATTTGCTATACAGAGTATCCTACCATTATTAGTTTAGTTTTTTAACTCTCAGCATTGCATCGAAGCTAAAAAAATTTAAATAATTCATTTTTATTTTTTTATTAAAAATAAATAATATTTGTTTTTAACATAATTTAAAAAAAAAGTTAACACAAAATATTTGCTGGATATTTATTAGTTATTTAAGATGGTATTCATCTAAATTAAATATAATTAAAATTATATTTAAAATATTATTAATTTAAAAACCATTATCAATGCTAAACACATACTGTCAGTATGTGTTTAGCGTTATAGTTTTTAAATTAATAATATTTAAATATAGTTTTAATTTTATTTAATTAATTAACCATAAGTGATTTTTATTATATGGTATTAATCTCATAAGGGTTAATCAATTCATTGTTATTTTAATATATAATTATTTTTAGGTGAAATATTTTAATTTATATACTTAATTCTTTATATTATGAAAACTAAATATTTTAGTGAAAAATATACATGATATTATTTTAGTAATAATTTATTAATAAAAACAATACTTATTTGTTCAAACTTTAAATAAAAACTGATTTCCAAATTATTTAAATAAATTATTACATTGGTAATAATAGAGGCACAATTAGTTTCTAAATGGCCCAAGTATATGAAACCTTAACATATATTTAAAATAAAATTTGCATAGAAGCAGACGTAAATAAATTTTTTCTTTTATTATTTAAAAATATTTTTTAGTGCATTATAATATGATCACTACAAACACATAAATAATTTGAATTCTTATCTTGCATGTGATTTCAATATACATTTCTATAATTCATATAAAAGAGAATTTATGAATAAACTTAATAATTAAATACACAATAATTAAAAATTTGGAAAATATTTACAAAAAAAAATGTATAAGTTTAAACGTTTTTATATTAAAAATAAAAAAACAAAATTGATTATTTAGCTAATGAATAATTTTTATCTAATAGAACGTTATAATTAAAATAATAATATATAAATACTATACTTAAGCTATAAACCGAAAAAAAACCAATTTAACCACCTCTTAAGTATCTTCATTATCAGATGATTCAGTACAATTTGATGATTCATTGTAATCTGTAACTACATCTATGTCATCCAATACTTGATCCATAATGTCATCCAAATTCCAAAATTCGTTTTCTTTTTTAATAACTTCTTCTAAACATTTATTCCATTTTTTTGTAGTCATTGAATTCAATCCTGCTGTGACTAAATAATAAATATCTTTTGATATTGTATTGTAACGAATACTATTTTTTACCATAGACCAAGCATATTCCATTAAATTCATTTGATTATGATATAAAGGGAGTCTTAAAACTTTTTTGTACCGCCTCCTAGCTGTTTCATCTATAATGAATTTATCAAATTTATCCCGGTTCTTAATAATTATATCTAATAATTCAGCTTTGATCATAGTATGTTTAAAAGGTAATTGTTTTTCTACCATCCAGCTAAGAATATCTTCTTTTTTCCAACCTGCATTTGGAATTCGATCAAACTTAGCCGAGTGACAAGATGCTTGATCCATCACGATAACACAATTGTTATCCAACATAGTTAATATATTTTCAAACCATTCAATAAACATTTCTTGGGAAATGCTTGGCAAAGCTGTGGTCGATTCAACACATAGTAAACCATTAGGGATAAATCCTTTACTACTACAGATATGTAGCAAAATCAATATTTTGTTAGGGACTTCAGCAGGTGTTCGACAAACATAGCTTTTTTCTTCTAAATCAATACAAGTTTCATCTAAATAATAGATAGTACGTCCATCATTACGAAAATTTTTAATATTTTCTAAATAATTCCTACGCAAAAGAATCATTCTATTTTTTTCTGTTAACACTGAACTATTCTTTTTCATTTTAGTTAATCGAAAGTGCAAACGTTTCAACAAAAGGTAAAAAGAAGATCGTTTAAAGCATGGTAATTCATTATTACTATTAACAATATTGTACACTTTATCAATAGTTGGCAATTTTTGATCCATATAAAATGAATGAACAACTTGTCTAATAGATATCTTGTCCTGCTCACTTAACTTGTTATGAATAGTTTGTAGATTATTTACATTTTTTACTGAAGAAATATTACCAATTTTTTTATTATTACATAATGTTTTTTGGACTATAAATATTGGTAGACTCAATTCACGAGCTATATCATTAATAATTTTGTGATATGGTTGTTTTGGATTATCTTTTTTCTTTTTCAGGTATAATTTAATTACAATTGATTGTTTTGGCTTTGTAAGCATCTTAAATTAAAGAAAAAAAATCAATTAAACTAGGTACAATAATTAATAGCTTCAAAATTTATTCTGATTATAATATTAACAGAGTATAATACAAATAATATAATTATAGGTCAAAATTGTCATTTTTCTTTTACTTAAATTAAATATTCTATTTTTAATAGTAATGAATTAATGAAAGATTTAATACATAGTTATTTAATTTTCTTTGTTCGATCATGATATAAGTCACTAGTTTTTTTTTTCATACAATATATACAGATAAATAATTAGAAGAGTAAAAATTTCTTGCTTCATATAATTTTAAAATGTGTATAAATTATAAATAAAAATTAATACACATAAATTTACCAAACAATAAAAAATTAATAATTACTTATATTTACCTGACAACTTTTATTTTTTACATTTCCTGGTGAATTGAGATGATTGTCTGCCATTATAATAAATGTTTGCTTTTAGACGGATAGATTTGATCGACAATATAAATTTTGAATGTTTATCTAAATGAACTGTTAAACTAACCAATAACACAACTCATAACACACAGACTATTATGAAGGATTAGTGACGACCACTACTACCACCAGGATCTAAGAGTACCTCCACAGGCGTTGGAGGATCAACTAGTAACTATGGGCAATAACTTATAGAGTATCTGCACTTAAAACTACACATATAAAAAATTTTTATATAGTTTTCGTATTAAAGGCTTGCAAGAATGTAAAAAAATGCATTCGGTTAATATATTCGGTAATATAAAATCACCATCATATGAAGGGTTGCCATCTGTTAAAAATAGTATAACATTATTTCATCTTGAATTTTAAGTTTTTTAACTAAAAATTATGATTATTAGCAATTTCTATTTATACAAATTTTCTAATGTGATTTATATTGTTTTATGATTACTTACTTATTACTTCTTGGTTATGTCGAAAAACAGAATTTGAGAATATAATTCTAGTAATAAGTTATGTTTTGTGTAAATTAAATTGTAATTTGTAAATTATTTAAATATTAACAGATTTTTGAACCTATAGGGTCTATGGATGAAAGATCTTAGAAAATTAAGTATTAAGTAGAGACATATAATCGGAAAATATAACTATAATACATTTATATTAATTTATTACTATAATAAAATCTCCCTCCATCAAAATGAGATTAGTCAATATGCTTAGAAGACTAATTTAAAAATAGTCAATAATGCTATTCAAAAATTGAACAATTAGGAATAATACAATAAATTTTCAATTGAATATTAGTTTTAAAGATAAATTTTTATCATAAATATAGTAAGTGATAAATTTTGCTTAAAACTTTTAAATTCTTCAGTATGTTATTACTGTAAAATTGGCTTAAGTTGGCCTTCAAGTATAAAGTTTATCACTTCCAAATTTATCTTAAAAGCGATTGTTACCTAAAAATCATAAAATTGGATAATAAAATAACTTTTATTTTAAGTGACCAACTTATACCTATTTTACGGAAATGTAAAATATATGCAATTCTAAAAGTACACGCATGTAATATGCATACGGAGATTCTAAAGCTTTATCTGAAGATCTACAGAAGACAGAGTTCTTATATCGAATGAAAGATAAAGGAAAAAAATGGTTATTTACTTAATTTATTAAGTTAAATGCCATTCAAGTACAGAATGTTTTCAATATGCGATACAATAATTTAATATTAATAATAAACATAAAAAATGGTAAGGTTAAAAAAATAAAAATAAAAATTACACACTGAAGATTGATTTTGAATATAGTTAACTATAAAAAAATGTTTTATAGTTGAAATATAACTATGTGAGAAATCTAATTTAGACTTATCACTCAACATTAACAATGTTATGTGCAATGAGTTTTTATAAGAAATATAGAATTAAAGTGAGTATCATATTAAGGTATATAAATGGGAACACGTTCAAGAAGTTGGGGACAATGATTCCATTAATTAGTTTAAAGGTTAATTGCACATTTCTGTAAATTTTTCTGGAGAGCTAAAATAAAGTTATAAATCTTATCCTTTTAACAAAAATATTCTTAATAAAATATTAGATAAATTATTCATTGAATTGATTTCGTTACTTGATACTACTAATGCTATAAAATCAAAAAAATTAATTTTTCTTTTATCTTTAAATGTATAGTAAGCAAAATTTTAATAAAAGTAGGTATAATTATTTATAATATGGCAGTAGTATACAATTTAATTGTTTAATAAAAAATAATCCAAGTCTTAAATTTATTATTCAAAATTGGAAATCTTTAATATAAACAATTTATACATGATTTCATATTATACATTTTTCAATGAGTGCTATTTATGATAAATTACATCATAAAAGTCAAATTGGTCAACATGAGGCAGTTTTACAGATTTTATCACTTTTGTGAACAAATAATTCTCAACAATGTCAAACATTTACTTTAACAAAACTAATATTTTACTGGTGTTGTAGATTAATACAACTAAAATGATAAGATATTTAACTTAATAATTAATATTTATAGAATCGTTAACAGATTAGGTAGGATAACTTAGTTCTATTTCATTATCGATTAAATCATTGTTGGTTTTTTTAATATTTAATTAAGATAATTTAAAATGACATTATAAAAAATAATAAATCGCTTATTTAACATAAAAAATTCAAATTTCATTATGAGATAAAAATATGACCAATGATTCAGAAAATAGTTAATACTGAAGATTTTAACTACAATTACTTAAGAAAAACAAGCCATCTGGATCTAATAAAAGCAAATTTGAAATGCATAAACATCATGAACGTATTTCGTTGTTGTTGAAGGTATTCTAGGTTATTCCAATTTAAATGATAATATATAAATAGAAAATATTTATTAGGTATACATTATATAACATTGAATTTTATTGGTTGTAATAATTATTTGTCATAGAACACCATTTTATCATTAATACTACAAAAGGAATGTAACATATGTTGCAAATTAAAAAAAAATTGTTTAATTTTATTTAAACCACAATCATAAGACAAATAGTGTTAAGTGGTTTTATTACATTATTAAGCGTACTGCCTTGGGTTTGAAACTGTGTCATGGGTAGGGATTTGACGCATAAGAGATCAGAGCGGTAATTGGAGTCTCCATCTCTATTTTTGGCGACTGACTAACCACCTGTCCCAGAGTATCAATTGTTAAAAAACCTACCCATTGAAGAGGTCACTATGGCCTTTAATGGGCCTAAAAAGAAAAAAAATTTTACTGAATAAAAAATATTCACACAATTAATTTCAGAATAAATTAATTACAACTATTATCACTCTTTAAAACAAAATTAGTAAAGGAACTAATACAAATAAAAAAAATTATATGTATATATTTTTTACAATTTAATTAAATATTTTAAAATGCGTATCTCGTTCTCATATCTTCAAGTCTTTTAGATACTTCAGCTGGAGTTTTGTCTAAGTCAGCCGCTATGCTTTTCTGTTTAGTTATATCAATAGAATTGTATTGTTCACATAAGTCTCCATCACAAACATTCTGTAAAAAATTATATTTGTTTATTATTTAAATTAATATCACATATCAGTTGTATAGAATAGAACAAATCTAACTAATAAATTTTAATTCAAAAATTCATTTTGTTGTAATTTCTTTTTAACAATTTTTTCATTCTTAAACTATTTAAAAAGTATATTTTTTATTTTTATAATAAAGAATAAAACAATTTTTTTTATTTTTTCAAATTAGCCATTTTTTTTAAAAAAAATTTTATAACCAATTTTGATGAATTGTTTACAACTTTAAGATAAGTACTTTTTGAAAGCAATTGAAGACACAGTGGGCATATAGCATCTCATTTCATTATTAATTAAACCATTAGTTATTCAATAATTAATAAAAATAATTTAAAATGAGATGTTTGAAAAAAATTGTTGATTAGTAGTACGAATGTAGCATGGTTGCAGTATGCGTTATAAATATACAAGAGTACGAAATGTATCCACCACCTGTGTTACATACCCACTCTATATATTAAAATACTTGTAACTTAATAAGTACTTATACTAAAGTTGCTATCGGCTCATCAAAATTTATAATAAAAAACCTAGAACAAGGGGGTGGTCGTAGCACAGTGGTGATGTGGCACAGTTGGGTCAAGTATGATATCTGAAAGTGATTAAAATCACTATCATAAAAAACACCTCAATTCAAATATGTTCAGTGTTTTATATAAAAAAATTGTTGGATTATTCCAAAATATTAGATTATAGGAGATTCATGATCTCCTATTTCCTTATTCATATCCTGATTACAAGTTTTATGATTTATAAGTGTAATATATTTATAATATATAAACATATAAAGGGAAATGGTTTTTATTAAAAAAAAAAGTATGACAAATGAAAGAAGTTTATAAATAGTATTTATCATTAAAAATTGTATTTATCCATACATTTTTCAAAAAGTTATAGCATTATAAAATTAAAAATATAAAAAAATAATTTTTTTACAAAAATTTTAATTTTTTAAATAACTTTGATGTTAGATTTCACCATGAAAACAAACTAAAGTCTGAAATTTTTCTTTGTCATATTTAAGTATATTACATAAGCTTTAATTTAGGATATATATAAAAGTGTCAGTTTTTGGAATACTTTCAAAAGTTAATTATTTGTGAAAAAGTTTTCATTTTAATTCCCCCCTGGGGGCAGGTGTAAAGGTCAAATAATAAAAATAATATATCAAATGATAGGTAAATACCTCATGTATCTATATAAAAAATAATTATATCAATTTTATTATTTTTAAAAGTTATGGCAATTTTAAATAAAAAAATGTCAAAAATTAGAGATTTTTAAATTTGTAATTTTTTTGGAGATTTTCCCCATTTACGAGGGGAATGAGGGAAATTTTTAAAATTTTTGAGGATAATGTCTTTGACTAGATACAATTAATTTTAAAAAATTGATAAATTATTCCAAAAGCTACATGATCTCCTATCTCCTTATTTATATTTTGATTACAAGTTTTATGATTTATAAGTGTAATATACGAATATTTTCATCGTAAAGACAAAATAAAGTCCGAAATTTCTTTTTTCATAATAAAGTATATTATATTAAATTAAATTTAAGATATATATAAAAGTGTCAGTATTTCCGAAACACTTTTAAAAGTTAAGTTGAAAAAGTTAATTTTTGTGAAAAGTTGTCATTTTGAATACCATCCTGTGGGTAGGTGAATAGTCAGATTAAAAAAATATATCAAATAATAGGTAAAGACATCATGTATCTATAAAAAAATATATGTAAATTATATTGATTTAGTCATTTTTTGAAAAAGTTATGGTAGTTTTAAGTAAAAAAAAAAATTGAAAAAATGTCGAAAATTAATTTTATTTACGGGGGACGAAGAAAAATTTTACAATTTTTGAGGATAATGTCTTTAACTAGATACAATTTGTGATCTTTTGATGTATCGTTAAAAGAAATCGGTCCAGTGAGAACTAAAAAAAGTGGTAACAGACACACACAAAAATAAAAAAAAACACATCATAGTAAAATTAATACTTTCTCAGCTTCGCATCGAAGCTAAAAATGGCTATTTAAAAAAATGACCAACTACTTTTTGTCAAAATTTTATAATATACATTATACTTTAGAAGTTACCTTCACAGGAAAATATGAAGATCTATATGAAAGATGATCTCGTCCGCACAATGGTGGATTTTCAGAACGCATGTGCATTTCAAGGTGTTGGAAGAAATCTTGTTCTTCATGTGCTGTAAATGGAACTAAAACTCCAATTGTACCAGTTATAGTGGAATATACTAAGGATTCTGAACCACCAGGTATAAGAGTTGCTTTCTAAAAAAAAAAAAAAATTCATATTGTAAATTTAGTGTGCAACTAAATTAAAAAATACATAATATTCGAATGAACAATGGAAGTGGTCTATCTGATCAGACAATATTGAAAAATCATTTAATTTTCATTAGTCTAACGTGTGGCAAATAAAAACTATAATTATCAATGAAGAATACTTTTATTAACTACATTAAATTATACACTTCATTTTAGATAATACATTTTTTGATCAGATTTTATTATTTATCATTTTAGTTTCAGTAGTCTAACGTGTGTCTTAAATAAAAAATCATCATTTCAGACAATAAAGCTAAATTATTATGAATAGTTTATAATTATCTTAATGAATTAAAAAAAAAAAAAAAAATTAAATAAGTTATATCTTACTTGAAGTGAGGTGCATATTTCACCTATGTGAAAGTTAACAATAAAATCTGCTTTCTGAGATGCACCATTAAGCAATCCTCGATCCCATAAGCTTTTGTTACCAGTTGGATCATCATCTACTTCATCAGATATTGATGAAGCTATTCTTATCTAGGATAAAATAATTCGGATTAATATTTTTTTAAATTATAATACTTAATACATAACGTACAACTGAAATATTTCCAAATTTATCAGCTGTTGCAATGGTATTGTAATCTAATATTTCCATAGCAGTTACATAACGAGGTTGTGTATCATCTGCAAATATAATCAACTGATTTTCACCACGCTTATAACGTACCATATAAACACTTTCTTGAACATCACTGACATATATCCTGTAGCCCATAACTCGAATACCAACAATTAAAAGTGGTATTTGCTAAATAAATTATTCAAGTCATTTTGTTTATAAGATTAAGTTATCAATATTTTTAAATATATTACCCTATTTTCACATTTACGTAATAACTTTTTTTTTCCAATATCATAAAGACGTAATATTCGACCCACACCAATTAAAACTCGGCCTTGAAACCCACATATTGCTGTTGGAACATTATCAACTGTTGTTTTGTGAACTAATTCCAAAGATGTACATGTAGGATTAACTCTAAAATTTAAAAATTAAATTAAAACTATGGACTACTTTTAATGAAATATATTAGATTATTTTTGATATAATTACTTATAAGTGTACACATAACCACAAGTAACATGTCTGGGATTCAAGTTAAGTTCATTAGCTACACCAAAAAGTACAAATTGTGAATCAGGATAGCTAGAAAACTTAACTATAGCAACACTAAAAAATTTCCCATAAAATATATTAAGTAATTATTTGAGTATAATACAACAGGTGAAATGCAAACCTCATGACTGCTTCATTTTGTGGAAACCTGTAAACAGCTTCAGTTATTCCTTGAACTGGGTTAAACAGTCGAACTAATGAGGCCCACATTCCTGGACCAGCTTTTGGGGCACCAAATATACTTTCTGGCAAGTCTTCATTTAAAAAAGCTTCAGCCATTTCTTTTGCCAATTCTTGTTCTTCTTCTCCAGCAGCTTCTTGCATTTCTGAAGCCATTTGAACACGTCTTTGTTTTTTGGTTTGCTCAGTATATGCATTGTGTTCAGTTTCTACTACTATCATGTGAGCAGATTCTTGATGTATAACGAATTTACGAGGTGTATATTCCACAGGAAAAGATAATTGATTAAACACAGCTCCCAATTTTTCAAGAGCTAAAATTCGTAAGGTATTGCTTGATATTGCTACAATACCTTCAGGACATTGCTCTGATGCAAAACCGGATGCATATTCTAAACTTTCATATGATAAAGGGGTGAGATGAAAACGATTTTGATAGTAATAACTTAACCAAGATCTACTTGACATAGCAAGTACAGCTTCATTTCCTCTCATTTTGATCTTAAATAGCTTTACTGGTTTTCCACCTAGATAACGAGCTCTTGTGTCAGCCATTTCTCCAGTAACACCATCTAATACTGTACGTAACAACACACCATTCTGCAAGCCAATATTTAAATATAACATTGACAATGAGTTCATTCCAGGCTCATCTGATGAACCACCATCACTAGCACCCATTTCTACAATACATAAAGATTCAGGCATGGCAGGTATAGCTTGCATTTTTAACTGAACAAGACAATCCTATATATATATAAAAAAAAAAAATATATATATATATATATCTTAATATAAAACCACATAAAAATGTATATTAAATTAGTTTACTGTAGTGTCAAGTGATATTATTCGAACAGTTTCATCAGATAATCCAACAGCTAAAAACCGAGACATTTGTTCTCCTGATGGTGCATTAGCTAAAGCCATACAAAGAACATCAGAATTCATTTCTTTGCGGTCTTTATGTTCATTCAAATGTCCAGTCTAAAAAAATAAAAACAAATCAAAATCACATTCTTGAATATTTAATTTGATATATACAAAATGGAACAGATCTAACTAACAACTCTTTTGAACTTTTGATTAAATTAATATTTTGTTGAAACTTCATCATCAAAAACTGACTGAAATTTATGATTTTAACATAGTCAAATAATGCAAAAATTACTAAAAATATTAATTGTATTAAAAGTTCACAAGAGTTGTCAATTAGAACTATTTTACTCTCATAATTAACTGATAAAAATTTGTACAAACATGGTTCACTTCAATGAGCATATATCGGCTTTTAGAAGGCGACATGTCGTTTTATTTATTTAGCACTTCAATGTTTACATATTTTTGAATTATTTAATTTAAAATAATTCATATGATAGAATAGTGCAAAATGTAGTAGAATTAATAATAGATAACAAGGATTTATTATTAACATTGTTAAATACAATTTGGATATAGTATTAGCAATATTAAACCAACTCTAACTACTCATGTATTATAATATCAATAGCTTGGTTTTAAATAATTTTAATTTGTATCATTAAATTTATCGTTTTAAATTTAATAAAATTTATTGTGTTAAGTTTATTTTATAATAATCATTTGAATAAACATTAATATAATTTTCGTAATTTTTTTTCCCATTATTGGAATTCTTGAAATAAGAATTCAAATATAATTTTATTTTGTTAAAAATATATAATAGCGATTTTTCAACTTACAGGATCCATTTCAAAATAAACAAGTTCCCCTCCACCTAATGCAATAACTACTTGTCGTTGGTTAGCAGCACATTTAATAATCTTCTTTTTTTCTGGTACTTTCCAATCATGCATTCGTTTATCAAAGCGAATATGGCGAACACCATTTGGGTATATTTGAACTACTGCATCATCGCCTAATGGGGAACAAGAAAGAGTTGGTGTGGTTCCTAGAAATCCTGAATCAGAGACTTCTTCTACAGTTTCTCCAATAGATAATACTAAAGTAGCATTTGAAAATGACACTATGATATATGCATCGTAGGTTTCTGAAAAAATTAAATTGTGAGATAAACTGATTACATTATAATTTCGATTAATAATAATAAATAAAACAAAAACAGTTGATTGAATGTTTTTATTTCTATTATTTCTATATAAAAAAAAATAATTCTCGAGTCATCGACATACCCTTGAAATCCTAAATTAAGTTAATAGTTTGAAATATAAATTAAACGGAACATTCAAAGTTAGACAGAAAATATAACTGTTAAATAATTAAAAATAGTTCATTCAAAATCAATAATTATTTAATTTAAAGTTTACACAATGAAAACCTAAATCATTTTCACAATAATTTAGTTTAAGCATTGAAAAAGTCAAGTTCATGTTCATTGATAGATAAGATTCATCAACTATTATGGCTGAAACAATGAAAATATTATTTATGGGTTTTTCATTACTCTGGTTCATCTTACAAAATCTAATATGATAAACACATATTTATGTCTGCTGAGGTACTGTGTAATAATTTAATATGGACTTTTCTGCTATCTCTCCCATCCAACTCTAGGGGACTTACCTCCATGATATGGGGCCAAAACGTTGTTTCAATACCTGAAAAATAAACGAACTGATGTTTGATAGATTTTATAACCTATTCATCAGTACATTAATGAATGTTTGGATATTTTAGACTTTGTAAAAAAAATAGTTTTGAACTTATGAGTGGATGTTTTGGGAGGAAAAAACATTGATGCTTATCTTCTCTTCAATTTTTTTTTAAATATTTGAAAAAAATTGACATTAAAGTAAAAATAAAACTATAGGGACAATACAATAATTAAAGCTTACCATCTGCTCTTCGTTTTACAGTCCAGACTGCATTTGGGTTTCCTGGCAATTCAGATACAGCCATTTCAGAGACTTCAAGACCATGCCTTAATACTCTTAAAGTTGATCTTGGCCCTCGTCCACAAGCCATATACAACTGAGGTGTATCTTCTGCGGCTAAAAATTGTTTTTTTTTTTTTGTTATCAATTTCTTGTAAAACTTGAATATATTATAATAATTATAAACTGTATCGAACATTTCCACTCTACTAGTTTAAATAATACACAACATGCAGAAGGATATTGTAAGAAGTTGATTTACCAACTAATATTGAACTTTCAAAATATCATTTTTGAAAGTGGTAAGGTAATTGGATACATTAATTTATATAAAAATTAATTTAGATTTCTTTGTCAGCTCCGCAGGTTAACACTAACATCAAATTAAAATCAGTGTTGATTAGTGTATTTTTAACATCATTTAGAAGAAATCCAAATTGGATATAATTGAATAAAAAGTATTTTTCATTTTACTAGATAAAGAGGTAAAATATTAACCTTCTTCACCATCACCAATACATAATATAAGGCAATTTTAGTTAAAAGCCGCCACACCTTAATTATAACAATTTAAAATGATTTTTTTTTGTGATTTATTTAATAAAGAGATGTTGTGACCTAATTAAAAAATCAGCTCCGCAGGTTAACACGAACATCAAAATAGAATCAGTGTTAGATTGTGTATTTTTATCATCATTTTTAGAATAACTAAATAAAATAAATTTTATTAATTAAAAAGCTTTTATTTAAATTTTGTGAATAATGACAATGTTACAAAAGATTCCACCCAACCAATTTGTATTTAATTGGAAAATATCGCTTTATGTCATTGCTTTTCCAACTAGTATATATGCTTAAAGTATTAAAATAATAAGTAAAAGTGATAGATTGGTTTCACCTATTAAATTAAACAACAATGATTTGACAATTCAGCTAATATTATAACTAAGATTAGAATAATACTTGTTGGAAATAATTATTTATATTTACATTTATACTTTAAAGGAGAAAAAATCCAGCGCGTGTGATGAGTATGGGCGGATGAAGTAAAACTTCTATAAGTCATTCATTCAATTGATAGATTAGGTTTATATTAGAATAAAATAAAAAAATTTACCTAAAATTTAATTTTCATTTATATTATTAATTTTCTTATTCTATTGTCACGAAAGATATAATGGATTTATGGTAACTGAAATAACTAATGTATGTTTTTAATTGGACATTACGAAGATATTGTGTAAAATTGCATCTGTTGTGGTTTCTTTAAACTTTTTTATGCACAATCAAAATTATTTAATGCATTTTTAATTAACATGCTTCAATTTTCGAGAACACAAATAAATAAGAATAATAATTTAAGTAATAAATTAAATTATAATATCAAATATATGTAGCAATTTATTTTCGAAAATTAAACTATTGTTGTTTAAACAGCATTAATTAATTTAATTTAAAATGTAAGCAATTAACATAAACTATAAATTTATGTGTAATAGTAATAAATTATATGAAAAAAAGCATTGTATAAATTAAAAATAATTATTTTAATATTAAAAATTAAATTTATGATTTAAACTAATCTATTTTATTACAATAAATTGCAAACATTCGTGAAACATTAACATTTATTTAACACACATATTTATTGAACTTATACATTCGTCGTTCAATATAATTTAAACTATCACCTAATAAAACAATACAATCTATTTGTGATAGACGATAATCTTTTTTTCAGACCCTATGTAAAGAAGTTTTACTTTAAAAAAATGTAAGGAACAATATTTCATTCTATATTATTGTAATCAACAACACATTTTGATAGATAATACTTCACAGAAACAAAATATTTATAAAATTGAAACAACAATTTAAAGTTAATTCTATTTTAAGTTTTAAGTTGATAATGTTTACTTCATTAACTTAAAAAATCAACAATATTATAAGATAAAATTTTGAATTATTTAAAAACATCTCAACACTAACATCATTATGACATCAGTATTAATGGGTAAAATGTATGATCATTCCAAATATAAAGAATATCTAATTTTTTTTATTAATTACATTTAATAGTTAAAAATTTTTAAGGTAATTACAAATAAGTAAACTGAGCTACAAAAATAATAAAGATTTAAGATTTATTGAAACATAATGTTACATCTAAAACTGAAGTTTCCTAACCTTTAATAACATAATTATCAGGATAAATTTTTAAGAAAAAATCAAGATTGATTTTTTTTTTTTTTAATAATTTCTGCAATGTTCAGGCAAAAAAGTTAAATGAAAATTACAACTTTTGGAAAAATTAAATTGAAACTTACAGTTTACATTTTTACCCATTCTTCACCTGTAAAAACTTACAAGGATTGTTTTTGTTTTTAAATAAAAATTATGTTTAATGTGAGTTTCAACTTCATTTTTCCAAAAGTTATAATTTTACATTTATGTTTTTAACACGCTTTTATTAATTTCACATGTATGTTTGTTATTTGTAGTTTGTAACTTTTCACGCGCACGAGACTAGACGGTCGTAACGCATTCACCCCACCCAGCTCTCCAGTCGTCAAAAATAATATTTTCCAACCCGTAGACGCGCGCGTGTCATCAATTATATATATATATATATATGTATATGTAAATAAATTTTTATTGAGACACGGCTCCGTCACTCGTGCAACCTTTATCAGCCGTCGCCATACTATTAGTATAAGTGATCATACGCCACGGTGTAAAGTCCAGCAAGTGCCGCACGGCCGATGATGATCCGCCGCAAATGATACGTTGAGTCTTTTTCCCGTTGTTAAAGTGGCAACGTCGATGATGTACGCCACCGGCTCCTGATGTGACGCACGATCGAACCGATCCGCGTATCGTCGCCATTAACGCTGCTAACTTTTCGACGCCCTAGAATCTTGCCGGAAATCGCCTACGAAAGTGCCGTGATATTTTCCGAAGATTATTTTAATTTTGTCCAATTCGTATAATATATATATAGCGTTATAATTTTTTTGTTTTAATTTCTTCAATATATTAACATACGAATTAAATAATCTATAAAATCGAATTAATTTCTAAATAATTCATATTAATGAATATTTGTTTTTACTACAATTTTATTGTACAAATAAGAACAACTCGAATAAAAAAAATTTAAGTTCTATATAACTGCGTTTTGAGTTTTGTATTTAAACATTTTTGTGTTTATTTAAAGCACCAAGGTTTTTAGAAGTTTAATAAATTCTATTGACATATTGGTCATGAACCTTTTTACCCACATTTTTGAAGTCCCAACTAATAAGCAGTTATTTTTGGGAAACAAGGTGGTAATGATGAATAATTACGCGAGTTTTTTCCAAATAAATATTTCAGTATGGGGCCAAAGCTCAATATTTACGCTAACCTGAACGCGTGCTGCTTTCCTTGGATGTGGTAGCCGTTTCTCAGCTCCCTCCCTAGAATCGAACCCTGATTTCCCGTTACCCATTACAACCATGATATTGATAGTAACTACTATCATAACATGAAACTATAAAGTTAAAAATAATTTTTAGTTCAATATACTTTAAAAGAGTGTTTTTTTAAACTATATTTATTTTGCTTAAACATCACAGATTTTTTACTATAGGAATCAATGTAATATTATCAGTATTATAGTAATGTGATTGTAACCTATACCCAAAATAAAAATACCATGAATTACTTTAATAACAAAAATTATTATTTCATAAATAATTGATTGTAATGATAATCGTTGTAAAAATTTGTATATATGTCTTAGGATAAATGTAATAAAACATTATATTATACATAATTACCTATTTAACTAAAAATATAAATTACACATTACCTTCTTAGCAGGGTAATCATTATTTGAAAAAATTTTTTATTTAAAATAATAGGTCAATAAAAATGAAATAATTTTGTAAATTACTGTGTATCGAGTGTTTCCACACAAAGCAGTTAATTTTAATACTGTTTGTAGGATAGTTAAACGAGTTTATATACCAACCAATATTGAGGTAGCAAAATATTAATTTGCGACTGGTAAGATGGTTGGATACACTGAGGCCTAATTAGCTTTATTTATATATTATTGAAATATAAATAAATTTGTTTCAAGTAAAAAGATCCCATACTACTAACTTTTTGTTGTAAAATGTATATTTTTCCTACATTTATACTAATAATAGAAAAATTAACATTAACAGTATTAAATTTACGATTAGGTTAATCAATTAAAAATAACAATACAATTGATTTTTACCAGAACACATTGACATAAAAATTCCTCATTTTAAATAGAATACAAAATTAATATTTACCTAAATCAGCAACTTGACAAGCCATTATTGGAGACAAGGAGTCCATTTCATCAACCAATACCAAGTTTCTCATTTGTCTTGGTGCAAAAAAGAATGTATCACCATCTTCTAAAGGCATAGCTGAACTAAATTCTGGTTCATCATCATCATCGCCTAAGTTGGCTATTTGATAAAGATAGCTATAATAAGAATGATACATTAAAACATCAATATAAGTTATAATTTACAAAAAATAAATTAACTATTCAGTAATATGCTTAGAATTAAGGGGTCATTGCTCTTGGCCTACGAGTAATAGGAGTTTACAAAGAAAAAAGAACCTAGTTTTTTATTTAGCCTAATTAGTAAAATAGTTTTAAAAAATTCAAAGATATATTAATTTTTTTTTTATCTGCCGTTTTTATTTATGTTGTAATAAACACATTGTTTATTATACGTACGCTATGAAGTCAATATTTGTATAATTTTGGCCATACAATTCGTTTATTATACAACACATAATTGAAAGTAAAATACAATTACCAATTTTATTGATATGTGACTAGATAACGTACTTACATTACACGTTATCTCGTTAATTCTAATATTTATTCAGTAATATAATAATACTTTGATAAAAAAAAAAATTACAATATAACTCTTACATGTAACTGAATAATGATGCATGCAAGTTAATAAAAAACAATTATTTCATTGATTAACTATAAAAAATATGTTTTGATACTTGTAAGATGACTAGCAAGATAATTTATAACAACTATTAATATTTTTTAACTGAATTTAACTTCATGATTATAGTTTTTAATTCATAAAAAAAGTTAAAATGAATTTTGTTTTTCATATTTTCGTCACCCAAAATTCCTATTAATTTTTTTAATTAATTATTATATAAAACATATGCAAGTCGAGGAAATAGAAAACATAAATTTTTATCAATTAGCTACGGGTTGGTATAATTCCTTATATTTTTTATTCGTATACTTTAATTCTAAAATTCAAAATATAAGTTTTGTATCTAAAAAATAATGAAGATATATTGAAAATTCAAACACCATTTACTATTTGGAAAAAATAGTAAAAATCTCAAAACTTTAATTAAATATAAAATATGTGTTCCCATTTGAAAAAACTGACATGGCATAACGGATGAACTTAAAAAATATTATATAAATAAAAAAAAAAAAGACAAAATCTTAAGTCATTAATTTATAATACTATTTTTTAATAACTAAATTAATTTTAAATTTAAGGCTTACTGATTTCCAAATTCTGATGCAACAAATAAAAATCCAGTTTTTAAAACACACATAGCTGATGCTACTGGGACTGTATCGAAATATTTGAGCCTAATTTCTGTAACAAAATCTTCACTTGACTCAAGAGTAACTTTAAAAATATCTCCTTGTTCAGTTTGTACTAAGAAGAAAAACATGGATTTAGTTTTATGGGTAGCACTACAAACAAGAATCATTCCTCGGTCTGGATCATCTAAATCATTCTGCAAATAAATTGATCTACATGAATTTTACAAAATACTTTTTAAAATCGTTTGTTTAGAAATATTTGTTAAAATAATATATAATAAGTAGATAATGACCATACAGAATGGGGTTTTAGTGAGAAAGTATAGTATAATATTATATAGTATTGTATGAACTTCTATTTAATTTATATTATAGTTAGTTTTTTAGAACACTATCAAAAATAGTACCTGAATAATTGGATTTTCAAAAAAAAAGTAAATCACTAGAGATTTACTAAATCACTAACATTTGATTAATGTTTACCAATTTGTGAAATTTTTTGAAAACTTTTAATTATAAATTAAAATACTACTTAAATATAATTTTTAATTGTTAAATATTGCTAAGGTGAAGTTGTATTATTGAAAATATACTTCAATTATTTAATGAATATTTAAAATTACTATAGCACTAAATTACGACCGGTGTGGGAAAGTACTCGCACACAGGAGATACCATTAGTGCATATTTGAGATATTTTAAAAATAAAATTAATATTCTAATTATAATTGGGTTTACTGCTTTGGTAAAAAATTACTTAGGTACTTAGGAATAATAATCAATGGTAAAAAATAATTATTACTTAAAATCAGTCTTGTAAAATATTTAAATAATAGTATTTTATTTTTTTATTATTTTTATGGAATTTGGAATTCTTAAAATAATACATCTTCTGAACACTTTTTTTTTTGTATTATTATTTTATACATTAATTCACTCAAACCAAATTAAAGAAGAAAAAAAACTATAGAAATTGTATTGCTTGGGCAGATAATATTGTTTTATCATTTACCAGTTTATGGGGAATATTTTTTTTAGAAAAAGCCAGTATGTAATTTATATTAATTATTGTTAAAATTACTCATAAAAATTTTGTATTTTTAATATTGTAAGTTTTTGACAAAAAAAAAAAATTTGTATTCACAGCCATGTTATTTTCCATTTTTATTAATAATCTAGTACTTTAATAATTATCAAGCATGGAACTACTCATCCAGTGCTCAATTATCCTGAAGTAAATTAACATGACACCATTAAAACATGTAGATTTAATTTATTACATAGCAGAAAGTTCATCTTATAAAGTATATATCAATAAAATTTAGCTTACTCGTCTACGAGGTATAGGGCAACGAATATCTGGTTGGTCTCCTTGATTTTTATAAGTAATGTAATTTTCAGAACAAATTAGTACACCTCCCGGTCCATCTTTATCACCAGGAACAGAGATAAGAGAGTTAGCATGTTCCTCTAAAGGTTCACTATATTTACGAACTACGTGATTTAATCCAAAATCAACTTCATAAAAAGTTAGTGTTTGCCTGGTTGATTGAACAGCTTCACCAGTTGGATCAGAATCAGCTTCCTTAAAATAAAAATATGATTAACGTAATGTATTAACATAGAAAACATTAATAAAATTCTTATAAATTACCTCATAATCAATTTCAAGACATGCAAATATAGGGTTGTCAAAAGCTACATCAATTCCAACCATGTGATATACTAAAGTGTTACTTTTGTTAGCTTCTAATGGAGAAGATATTGTTAAGCGAGCTTCTGAATCTCTGTTGGGAATGTATACCAACTTTTGTTTTTCGACAGCACCTATCAAATTAATTTTAGTTTTTAACATTTCAATATTTTATATGTTAAAGCTATATTAATGATTATTTATATCTTACCAATCATTATTGCTCTTCCTTTAGGATCAATAGCTAAATATTGTCCAGGTACAATGCGTCTGCATCCACTTTTACCAAAAGTTTCTTGATGAACTTTATCAAGTACATTTTTGGAAGGTAAATACTCCAATATAACAATTCTACCAGAGTCTGAACCAACTACAATGTAATCTACGAAGAAATAATTACAGGTCAAGAATGAAATATTCAACTAATTTAATGAAATTAACATTTTTATGATATAAAAATATTAGATTTTAGGTAGATAATTTTTAGTAACTTCATAAAATAAAAATTGAAGAACTAGCATAGAAAATATTCTTTATAAAGGCTTACAATTAAGGAATTTATAGGAATTTTTTATGTATATTGATAAATAGAAATTCAAGTAAAAATAATAGTTCTTACCTTTAGTACCTCCAGACTGTCTAAAACTCATTAATGAACGGATGACTCCAAATACTTCAACCGTTAAGAGTGTATGGACTTTACCAGTATTAGTATCGGGTCGTAAAAGTTCTAAAGATTTACCACGAGAAACTAATATTTCTTGTACTTTACCTCCACTGAAATTTCCATGGATAGCATGTGTTATTCCACTACCTCTTTGCAATGTTATATTATACAAATACATATTGGTTATGAATTATTGAATGCCTGCAAATTATAATAAAAAAGTTAAAATAATGTCGTAATAAATACACTAATAGGTTTGAAGATTAAATATTAGATCTAATGTAAGCAACTGATTACATATAGCAGTTAAACATTAAGTAAATTAAATTAAATTAAATCTGAAAATATAAATAATACTACATATGAAATTATAAAAATCAAAGCTTATTTAATTTTTTAAAATGAAGTTTGGTGTTTATCTCATTAACATTGTCCACAACATATAATAATATTAGTAAGAAGGTAATGAAATTAATTTTGTTACTTTCAAATTATTTCACTGATCTGTATTTTTTATTTAATTGTTTAATTAGAAATTGTAGCAATTATTAATGTTAGTATTATTTTTAAATGTATATTTTTAATTATTGTATTAAGTTATTTTAATTTAGTTAATCAAATTTAGTGCGGAATAATTTTTTATATTTTGAAAAATGACTTCTTTTTAAACTTATTGAACAAATACTATTCATTTAAGCATATAAATACCATATAAAGCTGGGCATTAACACATTCAAAAATTAAAAATAAGTTAATTTAGGTAATTAATTACTTTTTGGGGTAATACAATGGTAAACTTAACTAGTTGCTTTTAACTCAATTTAACATAGTAATTTTAAAATTAGCTTAAAGAGATAAAAAAATTGTTAACTTACCTAGCCCTAGTGATTGGGATATCACTAGCTTAAAAAGATAATGTATTATAATAGATTAAACAAAAACACAAAATAATAATACGAAAGTATACCCAGTAACAAAAAGACAACATAAAAGTTAACTCTGCTATTTTATCTATATTATTTCAACAATTAACCCTAACCCCCACCTCTAAAGCAACACAAGAAATTAAAAATAAATAATGGATCTTTGATAATCTTACTGGGATAGGACACCTATTTTAAACAAACTAAGAAACATTAAAATCATTGTACAAGAATGACACAATATAAACAGAAGAGACAATTATTATAAGGTTTAGAGTAGGATATACCCACTTAACTCGCTTAATGAGTAAGGATCCCAGATCAATTTGTGATATAAGCCACATTTACATATCAATCAAACAAATCATAATCTACTACCCAAAATACACAAATGCACAATATTCAAACATTTGTACTATTGAATAAGGACAGTTTTAGATGTACATATTCTCTTTGAAGTAAAATAAATTGTTAACTAATAGCAAAAAACAAAAAAATCTGCAACTTTTTAAATAGGCCAATAGTTATTGTAATTGAAGCCCAAATGAAAAAAATTATTTGGTACAAAAAATAACTATTTAAAAAACATGATTATTTATATTAATCTAATGCAGAAAACTAATCTTTGTCATTGAAAATTATTGTCAGATAAAAAATAAGGAAAGTAAAGATTTAATTATAGACTATTAAGAATGAAGTAATATTGTTTTCATTAAATCATTACTATATACAGTAAAAACGAACTGAAAATCTAATTGTTTTAGATATAAGACAGACATTAAATTAAAAAAAGTCAAATAAAATAGAAAAGTTCTTATAATGCTCTCAATTAAAAAGTAATTTTTGATTAATATAAAATGCTAACCCATCTAGTATTATTAAACTATTTTTATATCCTTAATAAAACGGGAGGAAAAGAAAACATGGAGATTGATATGTATAATATTTTTAAAAAAAATAATGCAAAACACTAAATTCGGTCATTCAATTATTGATCATATAATATAATATAGTTCACAATATTTCAACAAAATTAACGAATCAAAATTACTTGACAATCAAATTAAAATAAGGAGGCTTTCCTATTATTTATATTTCTGAATTTCTACTGAAAAAACTAAGTCTAAATAATCAAATTATTTTTTTGAAATAGTTAAATCTGATGTCAATAACCTAACCTTAAAATACAAAACACTATCGTATGTATACTTAAAGGAAAACGACAATAAAATTGTCTTCTTTCAAAGTAAATAATTTACTCTCTATATTTTAACAGTTTTATAAAAGTTATAGTTAAACAAATCAAAATTAAAAGCTTATTTCTTTACCTCGTTAATAATCCATGTGGTTGTACGTTAAGCCATGGTCATTCATTAAATAAAACAAGATATCACTACTTCAAGCTAACAACATTAAACCCACGCCATACAATATGTAAATTGAAATCAGTGTTACAAATTCAGGGATATTATCATACGTAGTTATCATTAAGTGGCGACACTGACTATTGTTTGGAACCTTTAGTCATAAGTTATCATCAAAATGCAGTTAGATATTTGGTTTATCAAAAGAAGCGTCTAAATATCGGAATGCACAGTTTTATGCATAGTAAAATGAATAAGAAGTATGCTCGATCAAATTAGTGCGCATGATAAGCCTAGGGGTAAAATATGTAACCAACAATAAACTCAACGTGACGTCACATGTACATACATTGCGTTGTATATATTCTATATTAAGGGGCACTGTCCCGTTATAGTCAAGTATTTTAATGAACTTTTTTTAGTTAATTTCGGTTTTCAATTTCATTTATAATTTTTTTATTATTATTATTAACTTCAACTGTGTTGTAATACATCTTTATTGTATTATCTGCTACACTGTAGTAGTTTATAAACCAAGATTTAATTCGTTGATAAATCTAACCTGAGAAAAACTTTAACTGCATAGTAAAATTATTAAATATCAATTTATTGTGTAATTACTTACAGTAAGTATAAGTTGTTACATTATTTATAAAAAATGTAGTTTTAATGATTATTTAATAAATTTTTGAATTTTTTTTTTTATTGCTCATTTCTCGTGATGCAAGTTTTTTTATTTATATTCCGTATTCTAAAATATATTTTTGTTCTAATAATGAAGTTTTTGACTTCATCATCCACCAAAAGATTATCTGAATTACATGCTTTTTTAGTTAATTCCAGTACCTCCTTTATTAAGCCTGAAGTTTTTCTAATATCATCTATTAATAATTTAATCATAGGTATGTAAAAATATTTTATATTAACTGTATTTCTATAAGTACCATTTTCATTTAATTTTTTAAAAATAGTTCCTATGATTTTTCCTAAATTTATTAATGTAGGTGATGGTTGTCGTAATGTTCCAAATTATTTAACCTCTATGCAATCATTAGGTTCATTCAAATTATCTACAAGATTCGGATATTTGTATTCAAATTTAAAAGCTACATATCCCCATTAAATATGTTAGGCTGTCCTCAAATAAATCTGATGGATTATAAAAATAAAATAAACATAATCTATATTTCAAGATTATATTATGCTATCTCTCTCATTCACTTAATGAGTAAAATAATTTCTATAAATAATGTTGATTGTTTTTTAAAATTCACATTAATTAATACTCATTCATTTTTTTAGAAAAAAAAAATGCTATGCGCTATGTTTTCTAAAAATGTACCATCTTAACCTAATGTAATATATTTAATATTAATTTCTTAAGTTAATGTGGTGTTAATTCAATGTTAAAACATAAAAAAATAAGTCTGCACACTAGTTAATATAGCTCACGTTTAATTAACGAGGTACAAAATCCTAATTTTTCATTAAAATACAAAAGTTACAACAAAAAAATGCATAGAATCTAAAATAAGTATCCACGATTAAATTTATTATAAAATATTATTGAATGCGTTGTTTTAAAGTAATTAATATAATTATGACTTAAAAATTATGTCTATCATATATATTATATCAGAATTATCAATTTAAAAATCGCCCGGTTTTAAAGTGCATTCGGATGCGGTCGTATTTCAACGATCGTATACGAATGCACAAAAACACAAGGCGATGCACTTGCGCGTACTACGACGAAAATGCTGACTGTGATCGAGCATACTTCTTATTCATTTTACTATGGTTTTATGTAGGCATGCGCGTGAACTATTTACGATTTTTTAAAAAATATCCATAACAAATATTAATTATTTCCCACCCACATGGACTTATTTTGTCAGTACTTCTGAATCTGCCGTTACCGTGCACATTCCGATGTTTAGACGCTGTTTCATTGAACTATTACACGATTAACTTTACAATTACGATTATAGATATTTTATCTGATTTTGTAATTCAAATAATATGTGTAAAGCTAACAATTTTTAATCAGATACATGCAGCAATTATCACATGAATATTGCTCCCAGCACTGTCATTTATTCTAAGAAAATGTTTTATTCTAAGTCTTGGGCCATTGTTTTTTTTACTACTTATAATAATAACACAACATTATAACAATGGTAAAAATTCGTCAAATAATGTTTGTATGTAATATCCCGTATATTACATACGTGTATAGTTGATTCATAATTTTACCTATATTTGAACTATCTATTTAAGTTAAACGTATATCACTACTGTTAAAGAATGTTATAAAAATTTATAGAAAGTTAAAAATATAAAATTGAGATTTTAACACAAAAATAAAATACAGTAGCCATTTACATCATGAAGACAAAATAAAGTTTTCACTAAATCTGGAAAAATCGAATCATTAAAACACACACTATACTGATAATAATGATAGCTTTAGTATTTTCTAAACGGTGACAGGACACTGATTTACTATTTATATAATCAATAGGCAACTAGAAAATATTTTTTTTTTTGAGAGGGATTATTATTTTATATTGCTTATTTTCATTCTAAATCTTTATTTCAAAAAGTTTGAATGAGCGAAAAATAATAGATAAAATTTAAAAGTTTAACATCGTAAATCAAGTAATTTTTAAATAAAATATTAATGGAGTTAAAGAGAAATTTATTTATTTTTTAAATAATAAATTATAAGTTGCTAGAAAAATATATCAATAAGTTTAGCTCTACCTATTCAGTACTCCTTCTATTTGTTGATAAATTAAAAAGTTACAGAGAACAAATTTTCATAAATAAAAATTTAGTTATAAATTGAATGAGACTCTATATGAATCATCAATTATTTAAGCAACTAAGAAAGTATAATACATCCATTAACTTTAAAAATTGTAATTGGGCAACTAAAATTATTGTTTATTATACAGTTTTTGTAATCACACACATAGTTATTTAACACATAAAATCAGGGCTCGAAATGGACCGGAACTGCGTTCCAGTTCACGACAAAAAATTTTTTAGCGTTTCAGCTCGTAAAAAAAATACATTTAACGTTCCGTTTCAAACAAATGTAGGTTACAGGGGAAAAACGGTAATAGTCCAATTTTATTGATTTTAATTTTATAGTTTCATTCGATAGCAGAATATGAGTAGTTAATAACTTTTGAAATCAATTAGGTGAAAAAATCTTTTAGTCCGCCGTTATTAAACAAAAAAGACTAGATATACTGTATTGCACAAAATAGTGACTTGTCCGATTGTTGGAATAAAGATCAGTACGAGAATTTCAAAACTGTAAACGAGTGGCTAGTAGTTAAAAATAAAACATTAGGTTGTTTGATTTGTAAAAATATTACAAATTTAGGATTATCTGTTGTTGATAAAACCCTTCGCTTTTCCAAACCTTGGCAAGACTGTACTATAATTTCAAATGGAAAGTCAAAAGAAGGCCAAATGTCTAGTCTTAGAAAAAAAATACTTGAATACAAAAAATCTGACGCTCATCTTAAATCAGTAGCATTACATAAACAATTAAAAGAAAAACAAATTTCGAAAATGCATTGAAATCAAAGTTCATTACTACTGAAAAAGTTTTTAGAACTGATTATAAAATTGTAAAAAACTCAAAGAGTAGAGTGAAATTGTTTTTACTAACACAATAGCCTGATGGCAGATTATCAAATATAATTTTCTAACACAATAGGCATCATCTAGATATTTTTGGGGAACAGCTGCTTCGAATGCCTCTACAGTGATTATAGTAATGACGATAATATACAATATTACATATGATGTCAAAACTAGTGAGAAACGATTTACCCAAAATTGTTGAGGTTTTTAAACGATTGAAAATTGTTAAGTATGTATGTAATCCACTCAAATTTTGGTAATGTTTTGAGAAAAAATTAGTATTTCAGAAAATAATTTATTAAATTATTGAATACCTGTACAGTGTACAGCCTATTGAAATCAATAGAATTAAATCGAATGACATCTACGTATTTTATAATTTCGATGCGACGCTGAGAAGATATTAATTTTACTATGTGTTTTTTATTTTATTTTATTTTTTTTTTGTGTCTGTTACCACTTTTTCTCAGCTCTCACCGAACCGATTTCTTTCAACGATACATCACAATATCATAAATCGTATCTAGTTAAAGACATTATCCTCAAAAATTGTAAAATTTTTCTTCGTTCCCCGTAAATAAAATTAATTTTCGACATTTTTTCAATTTTTTTTTTACTTAAAACTACCATAACTTTTTCAAAAAATGACTAAATCAATATAATTTACGTATTTTTTTTTATAGATACATGATGTCTTTACCTATTATTTGATATATTTTTTTAATCTGACTATTCACTTACCCACAGGATGGGATTCAAAATGACAACTATTCACAAAAATTAACTTTTTCAACTTAACTTTTAAAAGTGTTTCGGAAATACTGACACTTTTATATATATCTTAAATTAAATTTAATATAATATACTTAATTATGAAAAAAGAAATTTCGGACTTTATTTTGTCTTTACGATGAAAATATTCGTATATTACACTTATAAATCATAAAACTTGTAATCAAAATGTAAATAAGGAAATAGGAGATCATGTAGCTTTTGGAATAATTTATCAATTTTTTAAAATTAAACACTATCTACAGATTTTTTTTTAAATAAGTACTATTTATATTTTTCTATTATGTAACATACTTTTTTTTTTATCGGACCATTACCCTTTATACACCCAAAGAAAAACCTCAATCAAAATTGAAAGAGAAATTTTATCAAGGGTTTATGATAATGTTTTATTAATACGAACAAAATAACTATTCTTATAAATAATTATTGTTCAAGACAAGAAAAAAAATATCATATTGATAAATATATCATTGATTCAATAGTAATGATATATTTATCAAATTGAACAATGAATTTATTATATAGATCGAGGTTTTTCTCTGGGTGTAGAGATGGTCTCAAAACTTAAAAACGTATTTAGAAAACTTAACTTTTTCAACTTAATTTTGAATGTGTTCTGGAAATACTGACACTTTTATATATATATTAAATTTAAGCTTATGTAATATACTTTAATATATATGAAAAAGAATAATTTTAGACTTTAGTTTGTTTTCATGATGAAAACTAACATCAAAGTTAATAAAAACAATAAGATTTTTGTAAAAAAATTCTTATTTATATTTTTAATTTTATAATGATATAGCTTTTAGAAAAATATATGGATCAATACAATTTTTTTATGATAAATACTATTATATATACCTTTTTCATTCAACAAAATTTTTTTAAATGTAGCTTTTTGGATAATATACCAAATTTTAAAATTAAACACCATCTACAGATTTTAATTGAAGCGTTTTTTATGATAGTGATTTTAATCACTGTTAGATATCTTTATACTTGACCCAACTATGTCACGTTCTCACTGTGCTGGGTTTTTTTTTCATTATTTGGTCACTATAAGAAATCGCGTGTACTTGTATAGAAATACTCTAATACTTTTAACATATAATAAAATATATTATATTGAATTCTGTTATACTAAAGTATTAGAACACTGAAACCTAGTACAGGAGTAGGTATTCTCGTAACCTGCTTGTCTTTTTACACAGAGTTGTTATTATTATTAATGGATTTACTAGTTTTACTTAACACATGTATGTTAATTCAATTTAATTCTATTGATTTCAATAGACTATAAAGGTATTCAATAATTTAATAAATTATTATCAGGTAATACTGATTTTTAGTCAAAACATCTTCAAAAACCATGTACATGTCAATTTTCAATTGACGTATATGAACCTCTAAACTTTATTCGTTTATTAGATATAAACATTCAAAGTTTCAAATTTTTGAGTTAATATACATGTATAATATACAAGGGATTACAAATACTGGTAGCTAATTGGTTTTTNATACAAGGGATTACAAATACAGGTAGCTAATTAGTTTTTTATGACATCAATATTTGCAGGTACACAGCATTGTTATTATCAATGGTAGTAAGGCACATTGTTGTGAGTTCATAAATACACTAACTGACAATATAAAAAGTGTATCTATTGATAGTAATAATTGATAATAAACAATCCGTGACTGTGACAGCGATGTCATAAAAAACCAATGATAAAACATGTCCGAATATAGCGATCCATATAGCATCAAAAATGAAAAAAAATATTTGCCAAAATATAATTTTAACTAAAACAAAAATATCTATTTTAATCGACGAGTCAACTACTCTTAGCAAATTTACGACATTAGTAGTTGTTGTCCGTGCATTTATTGAAGATTTTCCCGGTGAACCTTATACTTTTAATCTTGACTTAATTGAACTCTCTAATACCTCTGCTGAAACTATTACTAAATCATTACTCGATTGTTTGGATGGACACGGATTTGATTGTATTGAGGCTGTACTTTTTGAGTTATAAATATAGAAAAGTTTATAAGTAGATCTTTATAAATTATTTATTTTTATTCAAGATCATATATATTTGTAGGTAAGTACAAAAGATACAAATATATTTAAATTTTTAAAAGGACTGAAAACAAAGTGATTTTTATAAAATAGTAGGTATAACTTATGTATTAAAAAGGGTTAGTATTTCAGGAAGGGAAAATTATAATTTTGTTGGTGCAAATCTCCCAATTCTATGGTATGATTTTTTTTTTTTTTTACTTGAAATATAAAATCCATACTAGATTGGCATAATGAGTATGTGTGCTGAACGATGTGCACGATTGTCATATAATATAATAAAAGTATATGTGGATTACATTCATTAATTGAGAATTCATTCATTAATGACACTCATAATTTGATTTTTTTTTAGTATGTATTAAAAAAAAAATGCGTTCCGGTTCAAAAAATTTTCCATTTCGAGCACTGCATAAAATTATTTCATTTAAGATAACTTTATTATATTAATTTTATATTTATTTAATAAAGTAATGTAACATAAAATAATAATAATAATAAGCTTATAAAATGTAAAAAAATGTTTTGAACTATACAAATTTATCAAGAATAATAACCGTAAAGTGACCACAATCATATCCATTGGTTTGACGAGACGTTTCACCAGTTTTTAATGTCCATGATGAAGCTATTCCCTTTTTATCCATTTCCCATTCAATTAAAAATTCTTTAAATACCATAGTATTAGGGCCATCGTATGACTTAAGACTATCATATGATGTCACAGTTCTTTCAGGCACGTTAACAACAGTCAATAACCAATATACCCCATACAGATTCATTGGCACAAAAAGTAATTTTAGTGTATGAATATCTTTTTTTATCCATCTTCTTACAGCTGGATAACCTCCTCGAATATATGCTGTTATAAAATCAGTAACAACTGCACGGACTTCATCATTTGATCTTTTGACTATCAATTTAAGGCACTCATTAATTGTGTTCGAAGTATATCCGAAGATTTAGGTGACTTAAACGAGAGTGCATTATACTGATCAAGAATATTTGTGTTCTAATCATGCGTTACTTCTGCAAGTGAAACATAGTTAAAAACTTCTCATAAATTACTTAAGTTAGCTAAATGGTTTTATACGAAATTTTTCTAGATTTTGGAATATGAGGTTAAACACAGTTAAACATAACATGTTTATATGTGTTTAAATAAATGAAACAAATAAAAAAATAGTATTTTACCTATTTCTACCTTAAAGAAATATCTTTAATTTCAATATTGGACACTGCAGGCAAGTTATTGTTATTTTGCGTGCTTGGCACCGAAACTCCAGAATTTATTTTTGACTCTAAAAAAATTAATGTTCCAAAATATTACATAATTATTACGAAAACTAATGAAAGGTTAAATTATTAAAATAAAATGATTATATACTTTTAATGACTTTCTCATCTTTCTCGGATAAATTTCTTTTCAAATGTGGTCGTACAGCAGTGTTAGAGGAAATCTTTAGAAGTTGCTTTGTTAATTCACATTTTTTGCTTTTTAATTTACTTATTATTTCTTCCGGAGTTTCTTTTATTTCAGAAGTGGACACGCCTGGTAAAGTAACGTTATTCGACGTTATTAGAGTCAAAGGTTCAATATTAATTTCCAACTTTTAAAGTATTAAGGGTTAAAAGTACAAAATAATTGTTTCAATAATAAAAATGTAGCTTAAATATTTTTATGTACTTTTTGTGACATCTTCATGTTCCTCAGATGAATTACTTTTCAAGTTAGGGCGATCAGTATCATTGAAGGATGATTTAAGATTTTGCTTTTTTTCTTCGCATTTTTTGTGTTGCAAGTGTTTTTTATGGAAACTCTTAAAGAACCATTAAAATATATTTAATTATACGATAAATTTTAATTGATATATTTGTAACATGTACTTTAAATCAAAAGAAATATTTAGGGTACATATATATTTTTTTTAAATATAAAAAAATTCAGAATAAAATTTACTTTTCCTACTAGATAAGCTGGTATCAATGGCGCATTGTCTTTTGGAATTGTTATACAATTTTTTGTTGCTGGAGCTGATAGTTTCTCTCTATATTTTCCAGATTTTTCATTCTTAATAAGTGTTGCAATATCTCCTTGCTGTATCAATTTCTAGGGAATCATAATAAATTAAATAAAATTAATATTCCATTATTATCTTCGATAAAATGTCTCTTTTTTTATAAAAATCTTAATAGAAATCAACAATATTAAGATTTTTAAATGGAAATTATTTTTTATTAATATCATGACAAAATAATACATTTTTATAGCTGCTCTAAATAATAGCAAATATTAAGTTATTGCTATTATATTGTGAGGGTCGATATATTTATTCGATTTTAATTACCACTTTTTCTGCAATAATTTCATTACTTTCAATTTTTTTTCTATATGTACGTTTTTTTGGTTTAACCGAATTTTTTTCAGGATTAATATTTCCATTAGAATTTGCTGCAAAGAGAACATTATTTTAAGTTATTAATTAAATAGTTTCGCAAATCTTTATTGTGATAATAAGCTTTTACATAGATATTATATCTATTCTGATGTTTATAATTTACTGAAATAGTGAATCACGTTAATAACACATTAATATTATAATTGAATTATTATAATTTATCAAAAAGAGAATATTCGATTTTATTTGGTTGTTATATTTTATGTCAAAGCCTATTTCTCTTTTCTCAATAATTAGTTTAATTAATGTTAATAGTGTATACAGTTATTAATTTCTCCTTTAGACTTTTTTGATTTTTGGTCTTCTTCTGAACTATTGACGATAAAACTGGAATTCATGAAACGACGATTCCATATTTCTTCAATTCTACGTTTGACATTATTCATATTTGTTTCATAAATATAACTAACCATATTATTTTCACGTGACATATGAGTAATTAGTTAAATAACTCAGAATGCATACAGAAGAGGATAGCTTATTTTTACAAAAAAAACGAACTGACTCAAATGTTGACATAGTCAACGTTTATATATGATTGTCATGGAGACTTAATTCATTGAAAATAATTTATTAAGCTATATATTAAGTATATAAAAAAATTTATAATTACACTACTTATTGGATAGAAAAATCAATGTTTTAAGAATTTATATCAGATATTTATCAAAATATTAATTTTATTTTTTAAAGGTGTCTAGGAAAAAAGTATTCAAATTTTTTTTTTCATTTATTACATTTGTTTATAAAATAATATAGATATTTTATGAAAGTTCACATGTCGTAAATTTAATATAAAGTAATTCAGTATATTAAACTAAATATACTGTTTAATATATATTTTTCTCTTTGTAACGGGGTTACATGGTCCTTACCGTCCTAACCGCCTTAGGTTGAAAAATTGGCTTGTCAGAAATTAATTTTATTTCGCACGGGTCTACTCTTGCGCAACCAATATCTAGTGGGTCAGAGATAAAAAGATGTTTATATTTATTAATTATAATAAGTGCTTTAAATCGTTGGTCGGCGTTTAATTCTGACAAAATTTTAATAGGTGTCCCCTGTTTATATTTAATTTCATTCAAAACATCGGTATCATTTTTTATTACAAAAACATTTTTGTAAGGCACGTGTGGAACTAAATGTGAAATAACGTGTAATACAGATTCTTTCAAACCTCTTAAAATATACGTACTATATTCTTATATACGTAATATATTCTTCTCTCATATTTTTATCTATTTTTCTACATAAATTTTCTACTTCGTTCACCTAACTCATTACCGATTGCATACCATTTTGCCGTCTAGTATCAAGCCTGTTTTTTAATAAATTACTGTACCCTATTAGCTAAAACTCATCAATGATATCTTTTTAAGGTTGTCTGATTCAAACTAGATGTTTTGTCTTCTAAATTTTCAAAAAAATACTTGCAGTACCTTTGAGAAAAATTGATAAAAATTTAATCTTAACAGCATCAGCCCATTCATTTACTTCACCAGCCTTATTATAGTGTTTAAAAATTACAAACATTATTACTATCATTAAAATACTCTGGTTTAATCATCCATGTCTTTAATGTATTATACATAATTTTGTTTGTTTCAGGACTCTCAGTTTTACTGAACAAAATATTATTAGAACAAATACTAACGTCTTTATTATTTTTTACTGAATTGTTTTTCAATGTAATGAAAAAACCCATTTTGTATTATGCCTAGTATCAAAAATAAAGTTTCTCATATTAAATGTAATGTAAATCGAAAAATATTTGTTTAAATGAAAAAATATAAGATAGCTTTTTTGTTTAAAATTGTACTATAAACAACTTTTATACGAAACTTTTTTTTGTAAGTTAAATATTTTTTGAGAAAATTAAAAAAACTCATATTATTGAACTTTTGCGAGGCTGTAAAAAAACAGCTCAAGTCCAATCGATGAGGACTTGTAGTATGTCATTATACATATCTTAATTCAACTTTAAAAAAAAAAAAAATTTGGTTGGGAATTTTTTCGCCATTTTTCCTTCGTTGACTGGCCTATAAGTGATTATATGATATATTTTTTTATTTTATTTATTTTATTATTACAGGATTACTTTTCTTTTAGTAGTATTCATAACAAAAAGAAACGTTAACGTAAATTTTTTGTGAATATTAATATCTTAAATATTACCTTAAACAAGTATAATTTTTATTAGTAAGTCTTTTATATATAATGGGATATGAATGTTACAATACAATTTGATACCAACCAGTGTATTAAAAATTTGACGGATGTTTATACTTAAAAGAAACCCTAGTTAATAGTTATTTGCAAGAAATAAAATAAAAATTTTTTAGGTAAACTTGATATATTAAGAACTTGGTTATCTACAGTCCACGACAAAAAGATAAAGGCACAACATTTAATCAAATAAAATTCTATATTTATACATATATGGATTCTATGTACTACCAAACTTCAGGTTATACCCAAATGATAGCAATCTTATCTTATTTCTTGATCATAAATTAATAAATGAAGTCTTATCGCTGAATTTATTAGATTTTGTTGCGACAAAATTACAAAGGCAAATATTTATATATAAATAAACTATTTTATATTACAAAATTTATTACATTTATTAATTTTTTTATTGTATTAATATTTAGTTGAACCTCCATTAGCACGAATAGTTGCAAAAATTCTATTTGGAATGGTGTCATAAAGTTTTTTTATGATGTTTTGGGAAATTAGTGCCCAAGCATCTAAAATTGATTTTTTTAACTCACGAACTGATGAATATTGTTTGGCATCTTTATAAACTTATACAATCAATTAACAAATCATACAATTACTATACAGGGTGATTTTTCTATCATAACCCACTCAATTACTTACAGAATAATAATAATTAAAAAATTTTTTTTTATTATTATCTTTAGTTACACATTATTCTTGAATTTTTAACAATGTAATACTTTTTAAGTTCATCCCTTATGCCTTGGAGGGAGGTCAACTTTGTTTTTTTAAATGGTAACACATATTTTTAATTTAATAAAATGTTTGAGTTTTTAATTTAATAGTAAATGGCATTTGAATTTTTAATATAACTTTATTAGCTTATTAGATATAAACATTTAAAGTTTCAAATTTTTGAGTTAATATACATGTATAATACACATGGGATTGTAAATACAGGTAGCTAATTGGATTTTTATNTAATACATATGGGATTGTAAATACAGGTAGCTAATTGAATTTTTATGACATTGCTGTCTCAGTCACGGATTGTTTATTATCAATTATAATTATTAGATATACTTTCTGTATTGTCAGTTAGTGTATTTATAAACTCATAACAATGTGCCTTACTACAACTGATAATAACAATGCTGTGTACCTGCTAATATCGATGT